CCACCACCGCACAATTAATACTTTCAAGCATATTTATTTATTATTCTGCTGTTAACTGGCACCGATTGTTGTTGTTATTTTTCTACTTGTTTCTTTGAAAGAAATCTATTGTTTTTTAAATTTGTTTAAATAGTCCATCTTCACTTTAGCTTGTTTTGTAGAGTTGTCTTCAGTTACAGTGCTGCACTTGGCAGCCTGTTAATTATGTGATTGGTTTTACTCTTAGTTTCATTTATCTCAGTGTTTTACTTATACTATTAAGTTTGACATTTTTGTTTAATTTTATGCTTTGAATTCTTTATCTCATTTCAGTTATCATCACTAGTGTCTCCTCCTAACACTTTGATCTTTATTTCTGTAATGCTTCAGGGCTTTTTTGTTGTTGTTTTGTTTCTCTCTCTCTCTCTCTCTCTCTCTCTCTCTCTCTCTCTCTCTCTCTCTCTCAGCTTTGACAATTGGCGTTTTATGTCTTTGGCTGTCGTACTGTTTCCATCTGCTATCAAGACTACTTTTCAACATTCATGTCTCTTTGGTACTGAGGTCTTAGACCAAGACTTTCTTACTTTCATGGGTTTGTTTAGCTGCTTCATCTGTTGTGCTGCATCCCCTGTACCCACCCAGCAGGTCCAGTTATTCCAGGGTCTGAAGAGGCGCTACCTGAAAGAACATGGGCGAGAGAGAGAGAGAGAGAGAGAGAGAGAGAGAGAGAGAGAGAGAAGAGGGAGAGGGAGAGGGAGAGGGAGAGGGAGAGGGAGAGGGAGAGGGAGAGGGAGGGAGAGAGAGAGACAGAGAGAGAAATGGAGACCAAACAAGCCAAACAGGATTCTGTTCTCAATTTGTCAAGGTCTCCGTTTATTGAAGCAAGCTTTAGTTTTAAATACTCCTCAGTGAGAAACTCGGGCAGGGGGAACTGTTGGGGAAGGGGGAAGGGATTTGGCAGCTCAACAGCTAAGTGGGGCAGTTGCAAGATCAGTGGCTAGAACACCTGCTGTTAGTGATAAGCAGCAAGCTCTGAAGACGCTCTGTGGTGCTTTCCAGAGCTTGAGTCTCCAAGGTTAGCACTTAATGTTTTGGTTAACTTTAACTGTTCTGTCTCAAGGTTTTTACTTCAAGGCCCTGTGAGAAAGGAGAAGCCTGAAATGGCTCCTGACATCCCCCTTTCCTTTTCCATATCTTAGCGTAAATCTATGTTGGTTCTTAGTAATCTGGATGGTTTTTAGTAATCTTCAGACGTGCTAGGTGCAGTGGGTGGCACCTGCTTTTAATCCCAGCACTCAGGAGGCAGAGAACAAAGCAAACTAGTGTTAGAGCAGCTTTCTCCTGGCTAATTTTATGAGTCAGAAGGTAGAGCTATTCTGAATAGTAAGTTTCTGTACTCGTCTTCCCTTGTAATTCTGTTTTTTCTCAGCAGTGCTCAGTAATGCAAAGCTGCATTCTCTTCCCACATAACCACCAGTCTGCTTCCTGAAACATAACTTCTTCCCATAATTCTCTCTGACTATGCCTTCATGCCTTTGTTTCTGTTGTATTCTCTTTGCTGTTTACTTTTGTTTTTATTTTCCACTTCCAATTTATTCTCCAAGACTAGTTCTTTCCAGGTAGCTTCTTTTATTCTTTACCTGGTATTCTTTCTCTCTAATTCCTGTTTGATTGGGTGCCGTATTTCTCATTTGGTGCACAAAAAAGATGAATAGTTTTCTAACAAGTATAATTCCAAACACTACGTCATCACCGTTGTTGTTGTTGCTGTCACCACCACCATCACTTGTGTTTGAAGTTTTACAATGAACCTTTTTTTTTTAAGTTCTTTTATGATCTTTGTAATTGTTATAACTGCTTTCTGGGGGTATGTGTAGTGTTATCGATGACTCTGTTACATGAAGGAGAATGATTAATTTGCTATGACAGCATAACTAATCAGTGACAGAGCTAATTTTTGGGCTCCCATAGTCTGATACCATTCTCTATACTTTTAATAGTTGTGCGTTACTGCTGTAAATTTTAACTAGTACAATGTGCTAGTTAGTTAGCTTTCTGTAAGATAGCTACTTTATGTATTTCTGTTACCAAAATATAACTTAGAGTGTAGAATTAATTACTTGGGCTCTCTGTGTCAAGACATTTTAGTTTACAGCCCTTGACTGTGTGGACTCTGGGCCTATAGTGATGCAGACTATCATGGTGATGGGAATATGTGGTTAAAGCTACTTACCTCATGGCTTGACAGGAAGGAGGGAGGGAACTAGATATAACTTTCAGAGGCACATTTCTGGTGGTCTACTTCCTCTGACAAGGCTTCACTTCCTACAGTTTCCATACCCTCTGCTGTCTTAAAATTTCTATTGCTGTGATAAAACACCACAACCAAAAGCAGTATATTAGTCTGGGTTCTCTAGAGGAACAGAAGTTATAGAATGAATCTCTCTCTCCATATATATATATATATATATATATATATATATATATATATATATGGGCTCTATTAGAATGGTTTACAGGCTGTGTGGTTCAGCTAACCCAATAATGAATCCAGTGGTTTAGTACACAAGGCTGGATGTCTCAGTTGCCTTCAGTATACAACAGAATCCCAGTGAAGTAGGCTCTACTGCCAGCGAAGGAATGGACTTGTTAGCAAGAGCAAGCAGGCAAAGAGAGACAGTTTTTTCTTCCATGTCCTTTATGAAGGCTGCCCGCAGAAAGTGTGGCCTAGATTAAAGGTGGATCTTCCCATCTGAAAGACCCAGATTAGAAGTGAGCCTTCCCACTTCAAATTACTTAAGAAAAAAAAATCCCTCACAGGTGTGCCTAGTCATTTGAGTTTTAGTTAATTGCATATGTAGTTGACAACCAAGGAAAGCCATCACAAGCAGGAAAGGGTTTATTTCACCTTACACTTCCAGGAGGGGGAAGATTCCCAAATCCTATAATAAAGGAGGATTTAGTCAGGAATGCTGAATAAAGCAAGGTTCTAAAATTATGAAATTATGTAATAGACACATTCACTAAATTAAATTGTACTACATATACTTCTCCTTCCTATAATAATGAAAATGTAAATGCCACCTTCTAAGTGTGTAAGAACTTAGAAGTGAGACAGATTCTTGAACTGTAGCCCCGGAAGGCCTGGAACTTACTAGATAGCCCCAGCTGGCTATACTAGTCACACCTAAGACTTCTGCTTTGGCCTCCAGAGTACAAGGACTAAGGCATAACCACATCTAGCTTGTACTGACTTAAAAAGTTTTTCTGTTGATTTGATAAGGTTACAAAGGCAAAGAAGAAAGAAATTAGATGATTATATAGGGTTGTTTATGACAGCTTCTTAATCCAGAAAAGAAAGAGATTGGGGAGGTTGTTTAAATTCCAAGTAGGCAAGTTATGAAAAAGAGACATTTTTTGAACAAGTTTTTGTTTTCAATGACACAGGAAATCCTCATTTAGATAGAAATCAGGGTCAAGGGATAGAATTGTTGAGAGAATGAGCACATTGTTAGTTATCTCTTTGGATACGCGTAAAAGAAACCTCGAACTTGGTACGGAAAAGTCTCTGGATGACTTAACAGGAAGACCAAAGCGGGAGGTAGCTTTCCTGGTTGGTTGATTCAGTGATCTAGTAGTGTCTTTATCTTTCTCTGCTCTGTCATTACTATAGAATTGATTCTTTTCCTAGCTCTACAAATAGAATTTAGTAGTTGCATGCATTATATATTGCATGTGTGTGTATGCGTGTCCAGAGAACAAAAGTCTTTTTTCTTGATCAAGTATGTCTGTTTAGAAGCAATGAAACATTGCTTACAAGTCCTTTAGAAGATTGCTCCTGTATGGTTATCTAGAATTTGATTTTATATATCATTTATGAACTTGTGACAGACATGGGTGTAGGATGAAAATTATTTGGAGTAGAGAGGTGAGTTGGGGAAGGGTACTCTCCATAGTAACTAGTGATAAATGTAATATATAATATATATAATACTTATATATAGATATAATATCATATATAATCACTATAGTATAGTGATAACTCCTCTAGGAAGTAGATGAAAAGTTTACCGAGCAAAGATTGAGAAGAAAAACAAAGTGGAATCTGAGTCCCAGCACCACTACTTAGCATATGTGTGAGTTTGATAAAGTTCCTCAATTCTCTAAATAGGTACTTCCCCATCTTAGAAGAGGAGATGCAAATCCTTCTAGGGTTGTTTTTAGAATTAAATGAACTAAGACAAAATGGATTTTAACATTTGGCAGCATCAATAAATACAGTTTCTGCTGGTGGTACTTTAATCTGTTACTTTGTACCCACAGAAAACTAGAATTTGTGTTTTAAAGAGTTTTTTTCTTTCTCTGAGGTTGTACTATAAAGTGCCTACGCCAAAGCTGTTGAATTTATATCTTCTTATTTAGGGCTTGTTCGGTTTCTTTTTGTTTTTGTTTTTTGTTTTATTTTGTAATCTGGTAACAAAATTTATGAACTCTTAAGTACTTTTCATGGGGAAGACATCGGAATTTAAGAGTCCATTTATTATAAGGGGTAAAGATTTTAAAAGTAGTAAATAAAATAAAGAATGGTAGTGGAAAATCACCAGAATGCAAATATTCTTCCTGACTTTGATTATTCTTTCTTTTCCCATTTGTATTTGATGCCCAAAATGATTTTAAGGTATATATGACTGTGTTTCATTGAAATAAAACATATATTCAGATTATTTATTAACTATTTTCTGTTGCTTCTGGTTTTCAACCTTAAATTGTCATCTTGACTTTTTTCCTCTTAGTGTTTTCCTTCTTTCAGGGTTTTATGGAGGTCACATGCTTATTCATGAATGCAGCAGTAACTTTATAGCAATGAATATAGTAATTGTGGAAACATACATTTAATATGGGCTGCTGCTAATGCAATTTGTTTCTGTTGTGTCAACTAATCATTTACTGTTTATATTTGGTAGTATATTGGGAGGTTGGAGAATCAGCTGAGCTATAATTCTTATTTTTAATACTTGCAGATGGCCTATTTAATCAGTATATCAGTCAGCAGGAATATAAGCCACGGTGGAGTCAGATCATTCCTAAGAGCACCAAAGGTAAGCTGCACTGTCCTTCCTGGCCGTTGTTATTGGTTTACCCCAAAGTTCTCCCACTCTGTTAATGAAGAGCACGTGTTTTCTGTAGAACATGGGTTTCTTAACTAGGAGGCAGAGTGGATTATTATACATCGTTTTTTTCTCCTGAAGCTATGGATTGAACTAAGGGCCTTGTACAAGCTAGGTAAGCACTCTTACCAGTGAACTATAGTCCCAACCCTAGTTTATTGTATTTAAATTATCTTTTAAATCTTTTTTTATCACTATGACAAAATGTGCTTTTTACACATTTCAGTTATTTTATAGTACTCCTGTGAAAATCCTGTGTACAGAGTTAGATGATGTCAATTTTACATACAAAAATCAGGGAAGTTCATTTGCCAAACTAATAAATTCAACTGATGGGAGATTTATGATGAAAACCTTAGACTTCCTTGTTTATATCAAATGTGATATTAGAATCCTGTTATCTTAGGGCTGAGAATATAATTTGGTGTTTGAATTCTTGCTTATCTTTTATGGGAACCTGGGTTTTATCCTCAACACACGTGTACATACACCATTTCCTAGAGTCCTATAACTTTTTGAATAGTTGAAACAAAGATATTTCTTCCTTTATTCTTCCTTTCACTTATTTATACTATTTTGAAGGAGTACATGCAAAGTGTTTGTTACTACCCTTTATATACTTACAAGTGAAGTTACTCCTCCAAAATTGAAAGTTTTATTATTTCTTTATAGAAAATACTTTTTCTTCTCCAGGTGATGGAGAAGATAACCGACCAGGAATGAGAGGGGGCCATCAGATGGTTATCGATGTTCAGACAGGTGAGTCACACTAGCAGTGTGCCAACAGAGTTCTAGAGTATGGGTTGGTCTGCATTTCAGATGCTTTATGAGAGTGGATACACTTCTCTTTCCATTTATGAAATAAGTTAAATGTTACTCGTTAAACCAGATGGCGAAGGGAATAACATTAATTGCATGCATGTCTGAAAGTTGACAGAGAGGAGGCTGCTGCCCAGCTGACCTTAAATACCCTAACAGAGATGCATCCTTCACATAGCTCCACTTAGTACAAAGCCAGTACTCACTCAAGCAGTTTACTCTTCTAAGAGTATTTATACCATTTTGTTACTCTGGTGTGCTGACCAGTACCTCGGGAATAAAAATACTTCTTTTATAGATTGAGATTATTTTGTGACTGATTAGAAAAAATACAGTATGGATACAAAATCTTGACTATTTTCAAAAATGTTAGTAATAAGATTGACGATTTCACCTTAAACTACATATTAAATACATACAGTGGCTTTTAGAACTTGAGACTCTTATTAGAGTCTCTTTGGAAAAGTTTTCTTTCAAAGTATAGAATTTTGTTTCCTAATCTGTGCTCCTTCTTGCAGATACTAGCCTACCATACAGAAGTAGGCTTGAATATGATGTAGCCTTTTAGGCTTTTGTTTTTCAGTGTCAGAGCAACAAACGTGCCTATTGTTTATTAAAGAGGCAAATTCTTGCTAATAATACACTGAAGGAAACTATCTGAAAAAGACTCTTTAATTTTCTCAGCAAAATGCTCTTTATCCAACAGTGAGGTGATCATGATACTTAAAGCCCACTTTCAACAGGCAGGAGTTTCAGGGTGCTTATTGGAGAACAATTAATAAAAACTCAGAGAAATTGGGGTTCAGCCTGAAGGTCAGAAAAGCAAAACAACCAGCCACTGGCTCTTACCTCAATCTGAGTCCAAAATGGTGATCCTGCCTCCAGGAATCTCAGAATGAGGCTGTTTCTGTAATCCTCTCTAGGGCTGGGATTAAAGGCATGCATCACTGGGATTAAAGACATGCAACCACCTGGTTTCTATGGCAACTAGTGTGGTTACTGGGATTAAAGGTGACCAGTGGGTCTGTTTTACTTTCTGATCTTTAGGCAATTTCTATTTATTAAAACACAGTTGAAATGCCATTACAGTTTATTACTGTGATACCTGTGGGAAAGAGACCATACATGACAGGGAAAGAACATATGTGAGAAAAAAAGATAATTTAAAGATAATGTATGGGATTTGAAGGTGGAAACAAAGATTCAAGTGATAAACAAATGTCATGAAAGAACTTAGTATGAACAATGTGACTGAAGATTGAAGTTATTGTGAAGCTCAAACAATGAAGGTATAGATATCTGTTACACTGTTTTATACAGTAGGGACGGAATTTCAGCAGGTTCTAAGAGGCCAATGGCCGTATTGCCATTCCTGTTTGTCTAAAGTAGAAATTGTAGTTTTAAGAAGTATAGTGGGACAGCCAAGTGGTGATGGTGGACACCTTTAATCCCAGCACTCGGGAGGAAGAGGCAGGTGGATCTCTGTGATTTCGAGGCCAGCCTGATCTAAAGATCTAGTTCCAGGACAGCTAGGGCTCTTACACAGAGAAGCCCTGTCTTAAAAAACAAAAACAAAACAAAAAACAAACAAAAAAGTATAGTGGGAATCACTATTACAGTCATGTGATTTTAATTTTGTGTGCATATATTTTACACACACACACACACACCTGTGTGTCCCATGTTTGTGTGTGTGCACCCATACATAAATTTTTGCACATTTATGCATGTGTATGTGGAGACAAGTTGACATTGAATGTTGTCAATCTCTCTCCCCCTGTGCTGGGATTACAATCTATGTAGATAATCTGGCTTATTTAAGTGGGTGTTGGGATCAAACTCAGGTCCTTGTGTTTATGTGACAAGCACTCTACTGGCTGAGCCGTCTCCCAGACCCTGCTTTTAATTTCTTCATGGTGGCTTCTGTACTTGTAACCCTTTCATCTCAATCTCAACCTCCCTGCTCATTACTTGGTGAAAATTTAAAATTCTGCATTAAATAATAATGGCAATTTTAGAGGAGACACCTTCAGTTTTTCCCCATTCAGCATGATATCTGCTATTAGTTTGTTATACACATACTTTATTATTCTGAGGTATGATTCTTGTATTTCTGGTTTCTTTGGGACTTTTATCATGAAGGTCTGTTGAATTTTCTTAGATGCCTTCTCTGTCTCTGTTAGGATAATCCTGTGACTTTTGCCCCCTTGATAGTATTTATAAACATATAATAATAATATATATTTATTTATAAATATTAAAAAATATATTTTTATTTTATAAATATTATATAATAATAATATAAAATAAAAAATTTGCTAATTTGCATGTGTTGATACATCCTTGTATCCGTGGAATGAAACTGGCATGATTGTAGAATATAGTCTCTCAGTGTATTGATGAACTTGGTTTCCAAGACTTCTATTAAGGGCTTTTACATGTGTATTCATCTAGGATATATGTCTCTGGTTCTTTTCATTATTTCTTCATATTTGTACATATACATGTATATATGGTGTACTTACCATGGTAGCGGATGGATATTCTACTTTGGCCTACTGTATGTATGTCAGTTTTATTGATTATAGTCCCTGAATCTAACACCTCTCCTTTTAATAGTCTTTAATTGTGTCTTGGGTTTCATCTGTGGTCTAGGTAAAACAGTTTGTGTGGAGAGATTTTGTTTCAGTATGGATTGTCTTGTGTTAGGTTATTCTTCCTATGTAATTATTACTGAATTTAGGGGAAAAGCTCAGACAACACATACCCATCATTTGATGCCTGCAGAAGAAGTTACTGGGGATTTGTCATTTAGAAGCTCTCCTCTATCCTCCTGAACCTTAAACTACTTACATTAAAGTGCTTTGAAGCAAACAAAAGACATATGTCTCAATTTTTCTTGAAGTTTTTAATGAAGTGAGTAAAGAGGACTTGGGGTTGTTAATCATCATCAAACTTTCAGGTGGTTATATTTGTACTTCTTTTTATTGTGTGTATGATTCCTGTTAGGGTATGAGTGTCAAGATATGCATATGAAAGTCAGGGGACATCTCTGTGGTCAGGTGAACTCAGGTCTTCAGGCATTACCCACTGAGCCATCTCACTGTCTCCTTGTTGACACTTGATTTGTGTATGACGTTTGGCTTTCTCTGTTAACACATATTTGATCTAGTCTGTAGTTTCAAAATGGACAAACTCATTTAATCATGAATAGTGTGCCATCTTGTGGAGGTTTATACAATCAGCAGTCTGATTTACTCAGAGTAGAGTGATAGATATTACTGTTGAGCACTTGAAGTAAAAATAGCCCATTTTATTTTACAAAAGGTGTGCAAATGGTGTATAGAAGGCCAAATTCTTTACTTTATGTTAACATTCCTTATTTTTTATTCACGAACAATATGTAAATTGTACTACCAGAAGTAAGTAGAGCCATGATTTATGAGGTTCTGGTAACAAATGATATATTCTTGTACCAAAGAATAATTATAAGATTTATGGAATAATAATTGATGGATTGATTGATGATTACCTGATGTGGTCTCTTAAATGAGATTGACTTGAAATTTTGAAAATAGGCTACTGCTAACAATATTACCACCATTCTCTCTTGTTTCCTGTGTCTTCCTTTTCAGTCGTTCTGCAGCAAGTTCAGACTCTAACTGCTCTGCTTAAGATTGTTTTTAGTTCCTCCAGTGTCTATGAAATTAAGTTTAGGCCATAATAATTGGATCTTGACCATGATCTAGTCACTGTCTTTTTAAACTTCCTGTCTGCCTACTACCTTTGTGTCCAGATTTTCTGTACATTTTCTGTAATTTAGTTATTCATCATACAACTTCTTTGCATGCTTTGTATGATTTTAGTTTTCACTGTATTTTTATAAAAGATAAACAATTGAAACATTAGGAAACTAGTGGTTAGGGAATTTTAGTGTCATACAGCTGTAGTTATAGAGTCAAGATTGGGACTACAATCTGTCTGACTTTGGAGTTTATGGCTTTTCAAACATTTTTGTTGTGTTGTTCTGTTTATGTTTCTTTGTTATTTTACTTTGCTTAAAAGGCTTTTTCTTCTGTCCCACATTCTACTGACCAGAAGACAAAGCCACATTCTGACTCCAGGACAGAGACTTCTCTTACCACAAATCTGCCGAGTTCTCAGCCACATGTCCTCTTTCCCTTTAGAACACTTGTGCTTTTGCCGTCGTGTGGCACTTGCTCTATTCTGTGTTGTAGTGGTTTATGTACCCTTATAGTTATGGCTAGACGGTAAGTTCTTCAAGGACAAGGGACTATTCCATCTCTTTCCATTTCCTACAGTGGTTTGTGAGTTCAAATCAGTACTTTAAACTTACCAAATAGATATGCTGAAGGGCTAGGACAATGCAAATGGAAATGGAAAGACAAGTTTGCTGCGTGAAGAAGATTAGGTTCCTAGGCTATCATGACATGTTTACAGGACTTGTGTGGGAGGGCATGGGTTTCCAGTAAGCCAGCTTTCCTGCTAAGATTCCAGCTTTTCCTCTTCTTTTCTACACCTTCCTCTTACCATAATTCTCTCTAGACAGTTGTAGAGGTTAATCCTTTTTGTCTTTGGTGGAGTAATGACACCTTCTGGTATTTATTTCTATATGGCTTATCTTTGTGAGATTTAAGTGATGAGGTGATTTAATTAAAATTTTTGTTGCACCTTTTTTATTCAGGTCAATCAAAATACTAAGTTTCTACAAGATTCACTTAGCTGTACTATTGCTCCAGTCGGACCACGGAGCATCCATGAGCAGGGATAACATCTTTGCCTAGTTCTTTTGGGATGCTTGCCCTGTGCCAGATTTTATTTTGCTCAGCTATCAATGAGGCTGTTGTGGAAATGTGGGTTTTCTTTGCTGTGAGAGTTTATGCGTACAAAGAGACCTGCTTTTCAGAAAGAACATTGAGAACTCAGAGCCCAAGAGAAAGGGTTATTAAAGTTAATGAACCAGGGTAACCTTATCCAGAGAGTGCCCAGAAGTACTATAAAACAAAAGGTCGATTGCTACTGCTATTTTAGTTATATGGGCCTCCCTCTACAAGCTTCAGAAATTAACAGGGTTAACTGCTGTTATAGTGAGGTCTTGGAAAATATTCTTAAGCCATATGAAAATTCTTTATTCTTTTTCCTGTAAAATTATGTGTCTGGACATTATTGTATGTCATCTGGGAAGCAGTGTTATTTTAACTAATGATAATGGATTGTTTTATAGTTATCAAATAAGATAGACTTCTAGTATTTTAAATAATTACCATTGTTTCATATTTTTACAGTGCCAAAGGGATTCCAGGTCTTGGTTGGTTTGAAATCTAGTACAGTAATATTGTTGTTACAGTGTCTGGGGGTAGTTAGGACTGAAAGGTAGCTGGAAGTTTGTGTGTTTTCCTTCTTTTTAAATAGAAATGTTCATTTTTGACAACTTGTATAACTTAAATCTGAGGAACCTCTGAACAGAATTTTGTAAATAAAAAAAAAACTTAAGACTGAGGAAGATAAAGTGGCTTGTGCTTGATCACTGTATTAATTTCTTGCCACTGTTACTAGATACCTCTGAAAAATAACTTGGGGGAAGAAAGTATTTTGGTTCATGGTTTTAGTCCATTGTTGTAGGCATCATGGTGGCTAGGAAACAGAGAGAGAAAAGAAGCGAGGGAGGGAGGGAGGGAGGAAGGAAGGAAGGAAGGAAGGAAGAAAGGAAAGGAAGGAAGGAATAAAGGGGGGGTAGAGGGAGGGAGGTCAAGGACCTAAGAGAAAATATTGCCCATTGTTCTAGCCAGGCAGTGCACACCTTCAATCCCAGCACTTGAGAGGCAGAGGCAGGCAGAACAAAACGAGTCCCAGGACAACCAGAGGTTACACAGAGATACCCTGTCTAAAAAACAAAACCAAAACAAAGAGAGAGAGAGAGAGAGAGAGAGAGAGAGAAGAAAAAAAGGTCCAAAGTAATGCTTCTGGCTGTGACTGAGCCTTTAATAATGAGCCTGTAGGGGACAGAAGTTCAAATCCAAAATCTCTGCTAAGACACAAGACAAGCTCTTAAAAGTAAGCCTCTTTAAAATAAGTTAGATATAGTTCTACCATAAAATGACAGGATAGACATTTCCATTCTGGAGTGGAGAGATGGAGGCATAGAAATGTATGTGTAGCTCATATCCAGCATCTGGTGTATGTGATGGTGTGAAATGAGAAAAAGACATGCAGTTCAGAAACAGCGTTGACAGTCCAGCTCTAAAAGGGGTTGCTTCTAACCATTTGATGATTCCAACCCTCATGGCCTCTCTTTAAGGCTAGCTTTTCTTGACATGCAGCATTCCTCAGTATACGTTCTGTGTTCCTGAAATCTCTTAACTTCCTAGGTGTTCATTTGTGTCTTTGTCTTCATTCTTGCAGCTTCATGCATTTCCCTTTCAGGAACTCTATGCACATATTGTCTCACTTCTCAGTCTAACTTGGAAATCTAAGTAGAAACCTTCATGACTCTGTATATCTGTGAAACCAACATCAGGTAAACTACACTGAAGTCTGTTGTTAGCTAAAGTGGGCTCAATGCCTGGGTAACCTAGCTAGCATGGTTAGTTAAATAATCTTTCGGAAATAACTTCATAGGTGAGGTCAGAGTGCCCTAGAAGCACTGATTTCTCAATGAAAAGTCTTCTAATTTATTTACTCTTTGCTATGGGTGTTCATCTGGCCAATTCCTAAGGTGCTTCCATGTCATCTTTCCTATTGTCTCATTGAGAAGAAACTAGCTTCTTTAATGATTCGAAACAGTTCAGAAACCATGTCCTTCTTAGTTACAAATGTGTATACAGTTTTTCTAAACAACGTTTTTCAAATCTTTCTGTCTGCCTTTTGTTCTCAGTTTTCTCTGTAAACTAAAAGCAGCTAGCAGTGACCATGTCTTCTCACCTTCTGAGCTTCTGCTGGAATTGCCGACTAAGCTCTATCTCTAGCATCCTAAGTATCGTCTACAAACTTTCTGCAAACCAATTCCAAAGAACCATATGGTCTTGGTTACTCACCAGCAACAACCCTCCTTCTCTAGCATCAAATTTCTATATTATCAAAACTTTTTGTGACTGTGACAAACAGTTTAGGCTTACGGTTTTTAGGGAATTTTTATCTACCAGTCTATGAAGAGTTTAGGAGAACGCATAGCATTGTAGCCAGGAAAGAGAGAGGGCAAGAGTGCCAGGACAGCATATTGTCTCACAGGACTCACTCCTTGTGACCTGCCTCTTATAGCTAAGGCCTCCTTCTGAGATTTCCAGAAATCTCCAGAATAGTACCACCAGCTAGGACCAAACCTTCAAGAATAGCCTTTGGGGGGCATTTCATTTTCAGACCATAGTGTCCAGTGAGCAACTAGAACTGAGTCTTCCTCTAGAGGGTTGTTCTTACACTGACAGCACTGAAGCATTTGTGAATGCTTCACTTGGAAAATTTACTTAAATTTTTAAGTTATATGAAAACATGACAGAATCTTAGATGACAACCCAACTCTAAGTGGAGTCCACATGTAGTTTTGAATTGTTTATCTTTATGGTTAGATGATAGCTGCCGTGAGTATATATAGTCTTAAAACACACACTTCAAAGGGTCAGTGGCTTGACAGTTTGTAATCAGTAGGTATAACATTTTTAATTTTTTTTTTTTGGTTTCTCTGTGAAGGTATAACATTTTTACAGAGGGGGAATTATTTAACAAAAACAGAGAGGCATTGTATAGGGAGGGATCTGTGATATGGTATCAGGTGTAAAGATTCACTGAGAAAAATTTTGTCTATAAGTGCAACAGACACTTCAGAGTGACAAGAAATTGATTTCTCAAAATATTAATCTTTGAAAAGGAAGACTACTACAATATATTTGGGGAAATATTAGCCCAATTTTCATGGGTTTACCATTGTTATCTATCAGTTTATTTTTAACTTCCAGCTAGTTTTAACCATTGCTTTGGCATTAGGGAGACATCACCTTTAATGTGATCCTTTCTCATACCTCCCACCCCCCACCCCCAGTAACAGCTACGTGTCCTCGTGTTACTCTTGAATTTTGCATTTCTTTAAATTTTGAGGCTTTTACAGTTTTGAGTAACTCTGTCAGCCTTTAGTAGCTAAAATTTGGCTGCATTGTTAAGAAGCTGGTAAATATAAATTGTATACGGTTCAATAGACCAGTTCTTAAACTGGCTGTACCAGATTCATCTGGGATACTTTAAAAATTCAGACTTTTTAGCCACTAAAGAACTTTGGAATCAGAATCTTAGGGGACATGGCCTAGTGATCTGATTTTTTAAATAAATTTGCAAAACATGTTTCTGCAGCAGTCTTTCCATATACTTAGGTTTAAGAACGGCTAGAGCACATTTTGAAAGCTACAAGTTTAACAATAATACTGTGAAAACAATGAAAAGTACCTTCTTAAATATTCTTTGAAACAATTGAGTGAGTCTGGTCCTTAACCCTTGTCCCTGTGGCTTTTTTTAATACATACCTTTTTGATTTTCATAGAGACTGTTTATTTGTTTGGTGGCTGGGATGGAACACAAGATCTTGCTGACTTCTGGGCATACAGTGTGAAGGAGAACCAGTGGACATGTATCTCTAGAGACACTGAGAAAGAGGCAAGTTCCTAGTCTTTTCATTCATGGGTATACACTGCTGCATGCTTGTTTTCTTCTCTGATGCTTCCCAGCAGTGGTAGTGCAAAAGAATTTTGAAGAAAATAAATTGGATGTAAGATATCTTGCATTTGAATTTCTATCCCTGGTTCACCAATTACTGGTGTAGCCAAGTCTACTTTGTAGCATTAAATAGCAATAGTTTTTTTTTTAATTTTAAGCTACTTTACCTTAGAAATATAATCATATAATTTCTTTTCGTGCCTTAGCACTTTATTCTTGTTTCCAACATTCATCTTGTTTTTTTTTTTAATTTTTTTATTGCACTGGTGAGGATGGAACCTAAGCCTCAAAGTGCAGTATCACTGGAGTAGTCTAGCCCTACCATCTTGTTTGTATTTCCTCTGGGAAGTGTGCTATTGATATTTTAGTTCTACGCTGTCTAGCTTTTTAGAAATATATGCTTGTTTGTTTTGCCAGCATGCACATATGTGCATCACATGCATGTCTGGGGCCTGCAGAGGTCATTGGATCCCTAGAAACTGGAGTTATGAATGGTTGTGAGTTACCGTGTGAGTTCTAGGAAATGAATCCAGGTCCTCTGCAAGAGCAGCCAATATTCTTAACTGTTATGCGTCTCTCCAGCCCCTTGTCTCATTTTGTCCATTTTGTCTCTACTTTGACCATTCACTATTTCACTGTACATTCATGTGCTACATAACAGTATTTAGCCATTGATAGCCCATGTACATGGTGGTGGGATCATAAGATATTGTTTAGGCTATCACAGGCATACTTGTTTATATGGATGTTGTATAGAATATTGGCACATGATGAAATTGCCTAACAATGCATTTCTCAGGTTTAATCCTCATCGTTAAGCTATACCTGTCAGTTTTTATAAGTGATATTTATTTTAATTGAAATGGTATCTATACATGTATTTGTTTTTGTGTCTATGTATGTATAAATGAAACATTTCTCTAATGAAAATAGCTTTGTTTTATGGCTTTGAATTAAATACTTACATGATTATATGCAGGGGAAAAGCAAATATCACTCATCTTTCCCCCAAAATTGTTGTAAACCTTTTACCGTAATCTTCATCTAAGGTAGTTCAGATTGTAGACTGGAAAATAAACTATAAGAAAAAAAAGCAACGGAGAAAAAGACCTAAGTCAAACCCACTGATTTTTGTTTAGGAAGACTGATTTCAAAAGATCTGGTGGTGTGCCTTCAGTCTTTGAAAATGGAGTTCTTTCTTACTCAGTCTGTTCCAAGGATTAATCATTTGGCTAATAATTATTTTTCCATAAAACCTTGAAATTCTGATTTCTTTTTCTAATCCCAGGTACATAAAAATGGTCTTCCATTTTCAGTGTTGAAGCATCATGTTTTGAAATGGTTATTTCTGTCCTCAGCAAAAATAAAAGACATATCTAAAATCTCTTTATTTATTCTCAGCCTTTTTGGATTAAGTTAATTACATCTGTAACTATTCTTCCAGTAAGCATAGAGCTCATCTTCAAATCTTCCCTATTTGATTGTGTCAAGTTTATGCCACAGGTCCACTGATGTCAATGCTGCATTCAATGTCCTTTGTCTGTGTTCTTCTCACTTTCCCTCTCTTCTCTTCACTACTCTACCCAACTTATGAAATTGCCTAGACTGACCTTGATTTGTGATACTTCTTCCCGGAATTACAGGAATACATGACCATCTTAAGAGTTGCCTTAAGTTTGAGTCCAGCTGTGTCTACATAGGAAAGTTCCAAGTTAACCTGTGCCACACACCCAGATCCTGCCTTTAAAGAAACAAAACTAGTAAATGAATAATCTTTTAGAAACCTTAGTTTTGATCCTTGTTGAGTTTTCTTTAACATCAGTCATTCATAGAACTCTAATGACATATAGTAGTAAGCATTTATTTGCTTTTGAGGCAGTGGGTTATCTGGGTCATTCTGTTGGTAGGTGCCCTCATTTGGGAGACAGCTGTTGGCTAGTCTAAGGTTACTTCAGCTGAGACTACATGACTGTGTTTACTTAATCATCTGCCTATTTGTAGGCTAATTGGGACTTGTTCTTGTGACAAGGGCGGGTGTTGTGGGATATTTGTATACTGTGAAGATACTTTGCTGTGATTGGTTTAATAAAGAACTGAACAGTCAATAGCTAGGCAGGAGGTATAGAGGTGACTTTGAGGTAAAGAGAAAAAGGAAGTAGGAGATGTATTGAGGACACCATCAAGAAAGATACAGAATGTGACACACAAAATGGGAGAGGTAAAAGCCACATGGTAAAATGTAGATTAACAAAAATAGGGGTTAATTTAGGTTATAAGAGCTAGTAGGAGCCGGGTGGTGGTGTTAATGCCTTTAATCCCAGCACTCAGGAGGCAGAGGCAGGCTGATCTCTGTGAGTTCGAGGCCAGCCTGGTCTGCAGAGATAGTTCCAGGATAGCCAGGACTGATACACAAAGAAACCCTGTATTGAAAAACAAAAACAAAACAAACAACAAGAAAGAAAGAAAGAAAGAAAGAAAGAAAAAAAGAAAAAAGAGAAAGGAAAGGAAAGAAAAGGGAGGGAGAGATAGAAGAAAAATAGCTAGTGGACAAGCCTAAACTAAGGCTGAGCTTTGATAATTAGTAAGTCTCTGTGTCATTATTTGTGAGCTGCTGGCCCAAAGGAAAGTTTAATTATAGGCAGGGCTGCCAGGGGATGAAATAGCCATGAACACTCCACCAAAACCAAGTTTGCTTTTGTCTCATTTGTCAAAAAGAGTCAGATAGCTAAGTCCATGTATAGTGGGTTGTTAAAAGTACAAGAAAGTATGGGGGGGTAATAAACCCCCAAAATAAAAACCATTGTACCTATCCCAATTTCTTTAATTTAGTGACAGCTTCCAGTTCTCATGCAGATTTGACCTCCACCAACTTGCCAGCCATATACCCTAACTGTGTGTGATGACTGCACAAACCATTTCTGCCATTTTACAATGTCCTCACTTGTCTCATTTGCCAGCGTTGTCCCCGTGTTCTCAGTGAGATCGCCCATCTCCAGCCTGTATGCTCTTTAACACTCAATTTAGACTTCCCTTCTTCAATATAGCCTGTTTTGAAGCTCTCTAAGCAGAATTTAAACCACCTTTGGTGCGCTCACATTTACCTGAAACTGGTTTGTATTCTTGCTTTCCCACCTGAATTCCTGATAGGCATAAAGCATATTATGTAGAAATTAAATTAAATTAAAGAAATAATAGATATGCTTTTGTAAATAATCAGATAATGTCAATTAAATAAAAAGCAGGTATTGGAGTAAAGCAAAGGAATTATGAATGTAAAATTCAGGATAGGGTGTCCTGGGGTGAGGCTTTATGAGTAGTACAGATGTTACGTGTTTTTGACACATACATGGTCTCACTAGATAAGGTAAACTAGCCTCGAATTCAAGGCTGTGCTTGAGCTTCTTCTCCTCCTGGCTTTACATATTCTGTGCTGGGAATACAGGCATGTGTCATTGTGCCCAGCTCATTTTATTATTTTTATACTATACACACACACACACACACACCCACACCCACACCCACCCACACACACATACACACACACACACACACACACACACACACACACGGTAACATGAAAAATGAAGTTGAACAGTGATTATTTTGATAACTTTTCTCTTATTTTGTAGGTAATAAAATGTTTCAGTACTGGAGCTCGGGTTTATTATGGTTTGTTCCTGCCTGTGGTGGTTTGAATAAAAATGTTTAGTCGTCAGAGTGTAGCACTATTTGGGAAGGATTAGAAGGATTAGGAGGCATGGCCTTGTTGGAGGAAGTGTGTCTCTGGAGGTGGGCTTTGAAACCTCAAAGCCCCTGTTATGCCCAGAATCAGTCTCAGTGACTCTCTGTCTCTGCCCCTCTCTCTTTCTCTCTCTCTCTCTCTCTCTCTCTCTGTCTGTCTGTCTCTCTGTCTCTTTCTCTCTCTCTCTCTCTCTCTCTCTCTCTCTCTCACACACACACACACACACACACACACACATTTAAATTGTGCCTTTTGTTTTAGTAAATGTCTCTGACTTCATTCCTAGGATTATTGAGCAATAAGAAATTAGGCAGGGCTCTTCTTACTGGATTTTACTTATATTAGTGATTTTCAAATCTTAGAGTAGTAGGATTCCTTTGTGTATGTAAAAAAAAAACTTGCTAGTGTTTTCTTAATTTGTTTGGGTTATGCTTATTGAAAGTCACTTTAGAAATATTTTTTAATATCTATCAATTAATTTACAAAAACAGTTGTACATATTTTTGTTAAGATAACTTTTTAAAAATAGCATTTTTTTAGATTTTTAGAGATACATGTAATGACTGGGTTAGTCACGGACAGCTAGATTCTTATTTATATATTTACTCTCTTAGGACATGTTTTACATGAAAAAATGAAGAAAATTGGACCACTTATAGATGTACCTAGGGCAAGAGGATAGATAGCACCAATTCCAGGCAACTGCGTATTGCTTTATTTGAGCTCATGTCCCAAATAGCCATGTTTTTTTTTGTTTTTTTATGGTAGCTTGTCATGTGGACCATATTACATGTTCTTTGTACCTGCTGTACTAAAATTCATTGGCCTGTTTGCTCATTGAATGGATTTTTTAAAGCCTGTATATGCTTTTTCACTTACGTTTTGGTTATTTGAAAAATATTGAGTCACTTCTAAATAAATGTTGGCATATTTTATTATATGCTATCCCAAAATACATTTGTTCATATCATGATCAGTTTCCATAGAAAGGTCTTTGAACATTGAGAAGATGTCAAGATCAATGGCAGTTTTCCACAATTCTGATTATTTCTTTAAAAGGTGTATTATATCATTGGCAACAGATTTTTTTTATTCCATTTTACTTCAGTTTTCATATGCTTCTCTTACTTTGAGAAAATGTCTTTCTTAATCATAATTTCTGAATAAGTATACTATTTGAATGAATATTTGTTGTTCTTTTCTGAGACAGGGTCTCACTAATGTAGCTGTGGCTGTCCTGGAACTCACTATGTAGACCCATCTGGCCTCAAACTCAAAGAAATCTGCTTGCATCTGCTTCCTCCAGTGCTGGGATTAATGGCATATGCTACTATGCCCAACTGAATAAGATACTTTGATTAGTTATAATTGTTCTAATATAGACCATGAGAAAAAAACCTCTGTATGAACTTGGAACTCCAAAAACTACACTCAATGCTTTTTGAGACAACCATTCTACATAAAATGGCCTTGTTTTATACTTTTAAAGTCACGGTGTTTGATGTAATAGAAAGTAGTGGGAATAGTTGAGTCACATCTAGTTCTGCGTTCAGACTTTTAGTATCAGAAAGTCATGTGGCCCCTGGGAACTTTGAGAATGAAGAGAGAAATGTTTAAGTATTTTCATGGAAAGAACTTTGACCTTATAGACTGTCTGAAGTACCCCAGAGAGAGGCATTCATTTGTGCTATGCCATTTTACTAAATCCACTTACTATGGTGAAGTGGATGTGTGTGGCTAGAGAACTCATTTACTCTTTCTCTTCGTTTCCTCATGACCTCTGTTGTTTTCTAATGTCTTTCCATTTCACCAGGTGGACCTGGTGGAGCACTGGTAAATAGAGTTGGTGAGAATAAACATTCTTGACTCAGAACTTAGATGTAGAACATTTATATATTGCTATTGAATAAATGTACTATTTGGATATTTGTTGTTTTATGAGACAGAATCTCACTAATGTAGCTTCGTATTGTTGTCATCTTTTATCAGATTGAAGCATTTTTTTCTATTCCTGCTTTGCTTTGATTTTTTTTTTATCATGAACATGTATTGAACCATGTCAGAACTTCCTTCTGTATTGCTATTAGAAGTGGAATAGAACAGAGTTCAAATTGGAGTTTTTCTTTATGAGTTCTTATGAAATTTCTTATGAAATTTTTGTCTAAAATTAGTAATATTTTTTATATGGATGCTTGATAAAAATTTACCAGGGCAGATATCTGAGTCTGTTGTTATAGGAAGATTTTGAATGATAAATTCACTTTTTAGATGGAAGGACTTTGCATTTTTGTGTCATGTCTCATGACATTTGATAGGTTATATTTTCTTAAAAGACTGTGGCCATTTTATCTGCATATTTCATTTGCCAAATTTTTACGTACACTTTTAACTGTTGTCAAATTATACATGTTTTTCTTAATAAACATTATTTTCCTTGTAATTCCTGTTATTCTTCAGTGATATCTCTGAGTTTATTTCTGATGTTCGTCGAATTTTCTCTTCCTTTATAAAAAAACTAACATATTCTAGTTCTCGTTTTCTATTATCTGTTATCTTCATTTTTAATTTTTGTTCTCTCTAGGGTATAATTTACTTGTCATTTTAATGGTATTAGTGCTTTGACTGAAGCAAGAGGTGCTGTCTCTAATTTAAAAATTAAATTTCATACTAATGGGAATATGGCATGGGCTTACTGTATATAACTCCATCGTTTTTTTGAGATTACCTAATAATGGAATAAACCTTTCCGTAAATAATATTTCTACCTTATCTATGAAATCTTATAAAAAAACCTTAAAATTTAAGTATTAGAATAATTTGTGTGAATATGAAAGCACAGATTGCACTCAGCTTATTTTCTTTATTGCTATTACTAATGTCAGGCCTTTTTCCTGTGTAATATTCCCACAATTAATCAAATTATTTATATTATGTTGCTCCCTGTATGATATTGCTATTTTGTGTTCTGTTTTGCTCCAGGACCTTATAGTGGGTTTTTTTTTTTTTTATTTCCTGCAGATTACACCCAGTCTCCTGGTAGCCATTCAGCAGGCTTCCTATTTCTCGTCATCTCAGTCATGAGCATATAAATTTTATTAGCAGTTAGATTTTTGCTTATTTCTCTCTTCTGAGGAAAAAAGCCAATTGCCTGTTGAAGTGAAAAGAACAGGGTTTTTATAGTGTTTTAAAATCTGGTTACAGTGGGGCTTAGCTGTCATTATCACTTCTTCGTTTTCTAACTCTAGACAAGTAGTTTAGACTGTGAAGTAGTGATAATGAGTTCCTTATATAGAGAGTTTTTGTAAGGATTCAGTGAAACACATCTATCCACAGTAATGTAAACAGGATTTAGCAAGTGTATAGGTTGGTTTTTGTCAACTTGACACAAACGTAGACATCTGGCAAGAGGAGATCTTAACTGAGAAAATGTGCTGGCAAGTTTTATATCAGCTTGAAACAAGCTATAGTCATTTGGTGAATAACAGTCAAACCAAGGCAGGTGATGTTAGCCTCAGGCCTACACGCACATGCACACACCTTATACATACATAGACCATACATGCACATCTTTTAAACTTCTTTTTTTTTTTTTGTTCACAATACTTTTAAAGATCCAGTACGCCTTAAAGAAGATTTTTGATAGGGAATTGGACTGTGTTCATGTATATGATACAGTGGACCATACAAGGATATGTATATGATGTTATAACAAGTGCCAGAGAGTATAAAATAGTTCATATTTTTTTCCTGGCAGATTTAAAGCATGTCTAGGTAAAGTTTGTGTCTCCTACTGCTTCTTTTGCTTTTCTTTAGAGATTTATTATAAGTTTAATGATAGACCCGTATCAATTGCTTATGAGTTTTAATGAAATATAACAGAAGAGAACATTTCTGCTCTTTGCTTTTGACACTCCTTTTTCTTTCCACCCTTCTTTCTCCAGAATGGTCCCAGTGCCAGGTCGTGTCATAAAATGTGCATTGACATTCAACGGAGGCAAATCTACACGTTGGGCCGTTACTTGGATTCCTCTGTGAGGAACAGCAAGTCTCTGAAAAGTGACTTCTACCGTTATGACATTGACACCAATACCTGGATGTTGCTAAGTGAAGACACTGCTGCTGATGGTGGACCAAAACTGGTGTTTGACCATCAGGTTGGATGCAGTTAAATGATAGTAGAATTAACTAGTGCTGAGTAATTTTTGCTCTTAGAGGTCTACTTTAGAGTTTTTATGGTGTTAGCTAACTGATGACACTATTGGTCGGTAAAAAGATAATTATTTCAGGAAGTGTAAGGTTATTATTACATTTTTTATTTTTGGTATAGGATATTTATAGAATTGTTAACCTATTTAAAACTTTAGTAATGTCAGGAAAAACAAGTTTAGAGGTTTAAAATATATATAAACTATAACAGTTACAATTTACCCTGTTAATATTTTTTATTCTGTTTCCCTGAAATTTAAAATCATTTGCTAATAAGTTTAAAATCTAGAGTTAGACTAAAATATACTTTGTCTTACTTGTAATCAGAAATTTAATACGAAGCTATGTAAAATTTGACACATTCTAGATTAAGTTGAAACTCAGCATGTAATGGTGTTATGGACAAGACAATTGTTTCTTCATCATCCCTATCATAGTCAAAGACAACAGTAACTGCTTTGTTGTTCACGTAGGAAGTTTTACTCATTTGACCTGTTTACAACAGTTTTCAGCCTGTGGGAGAGATAAGATCTGTTTCACTTTATCAGCTGGCATTGTGATAGAGCTGTGCTGCTTTCCAGCTTTGGCCTAAAGTCTTACATTGCAGCTGAGGCCCAGGCCTTTACGTATTGTTTCTTTATAGAATGTTTTGCTTTGCTTTGAAATGATCCTATTTTTATGTTTTTGTTAATACATGACTGGTATAAAAGAATGATGAACTATATCCATCAAGTACCGTAGGTGAAAAATAAAAATGTTAGGATCCTCTGGTTGAGTTTGGAACTTGTACAGGGTCTTTATGGCTGAGTTTCCAAAGCCATTCTTCCTGGCATCCTGTGTTCTGGGAAAAAGAAGTTCAAGAAGTTAGGCTGATTCTGATCATCTAAGAACAGAATGCCAGCACATGATATTGTTAGGGAACAGTTTATTCTTTTGATCAAAAATGTTAATATTTTACCAAAAAATACTGAATTTTGCAAAAAATTACTTGTATGGGTTTGAAAATAGGAGAGCTATGGCATAGTCTGGCCATAGCTTACAGTTGTGTATAGCATCTGTTTGTCTTGAGTTTGCGAAAACAGGATGCTCCTTGGATGTTGGCTACTATTAAATAAATAGTGCTAAGTTTTCAACTGGTCACTTGGTATAAGAGAACCAGGGAGATGGAGAAACCAGAATTTGGTCCTAAGTCAGCCAAACAATTATACTTTTATGATGCTGAGCAGGCAGCACCTGTCTAAGCCTCCAGTGTACATTTGATTTCATGTAAATAAAGCTGCAAGTTAGAACTTATTAACTCATGTTCATGACACTCCAAACATTATTTGTAGTGCCATGATGTTTTAGGGTTTCATACTTAACATTCAAAATGTAGAAGAATGAGGGCAAGATAAAGACACATTTAAAAATTATTTTTTCCATTTTGAATATTAACCTTAAAGGAATTGAAATTAAAAGACCTGAGCATATGGCAGGTTAGCTCTCAGACTTCCCATGTTGTTGTTTTGCTTAGTTTTCAAGAACAGCAAGAATTCCAACAGAAAGGTTTTTAAAAGCCATATGTAAATCACATGTCCAGAAAAACTGGGAGCCAGAGAAAGGTCGTAATACCCCTAAGTTAATTTTAAAAAACAGAAAAACCTGGTACATGTGCTAAAGCCCATACTGTGTAGTAAAGACACTTGAGATATGGGGGGGAAATCCTGCAGTGGTGCAGCAGAATCCTAAGTGGCAAGAACAGAGCAGTAACAGGGGAGGCAGAGCATTAACCTGTAGCAGTGTCAGAAAGCCCAACAGGTTTAAGAGAGCAGTGTGTTCTAAAAAGAAAACATACTTTGATAGGTGGGGACACTAGCTTCCTTTGCAGTAGTCAGTGAGCTAGGGAAATTCAAATCTTGAGAACCAGTCAGTGAGATAGTTTGTTGGGTAAAGGTGCTTGTTGTCAAGTTTGGTCTCTAGCATCCACAGCATGAAAGGAAAAAACTGACTCCTGCAAGTTATTCTCTGACATCTATATGCACACTGGAACATGCATGCCCACATCCAGGTATATAGCATGTGCATACAGAATCAAAATAGACAACTGTAATTTTAAAAAGACACCTTGGGATAGACCTTCGCTAAACCAGATGAGATCTTAAAATTAGACAAGACATGGCTTTACAGAAACACACCTCTGTTCAGTTGCACCAGGGCCCTTAAACACTACTGTTCCTCTTCCATAGAACTCTCTGCAAACTATTGGGTTCAAGGAAAACCAACTCACTCATATGTGAAAAATTATAAACAGTAACCAACCAACACCAGATCTTTAGAAAACTATTTTAAAGGAAATAGTAGAGGGGAAAGTATTTTCCTTCATACAAAAGTGGATAAGAATTGCTTTTCAGCATTCTAACAGTTTAACGATATACTGAAGCTTGACACTGAAGAGAACTATAAAGTATAAATTGAACAATACAGACGTGATCACTAAATGGTAAGAGTAGGTGAAAGAAACTAACTTAGGAAAGAAATGAGGGCTGATGAAATAGCTCAGTGGGTAAATGGGCTTGTGGCTCAAGCTTGCCAGCCAGCTGCCTCTAAGGCATATGAATAAAACTAAATTTAAAACATTATTTTTAGTCAGAGTTATTAATCCACTTAGAACTAAAAGGAGACTGTTTGTATATCTACATTTGCTGTTGTTTTGGCTTTCTATCACTGTGATAAAATATCTGAGGCACTTATAAAGAGAAAAGACCAGCCGGGAGGTGGTGGTGTATGTCTTTTTAATCCCAGCACTTGGGAGGCAGACTCAGGCGGATCTTTGTGAGTTCAAGGTCAACCTGGTCTACCGGAGCTAGTTCCAGGATAGACTCCAAAGCTACAGAAAAACCCTGTCTCGAAAAATAAGCACACACAACAAAAACAAAACAAAACAAAAATAAAGAAAAAGAAAATCGTATTTTGGTTCATAGTTGTAAAGAGTCTAAGGTCAGGTGGCACTATTGCTTTGGGAATATGGTAAGGGCATACATTAGTACAGTCATGTGTCAGAACCAGACTACTTATGTGAACAGGTGCACAGAAGAGAAGGGCAGGCTGAGTCTCACAGTCTTTGCATTCACAGTCTTAATGGTTTAATGATCTTCCAGAGGCCACACCGCTGAAAGTCTCCAGCATCTGTCAGTAGTGCCACCATGGTGCCACCCTATGACCACATTCACCTTTGTGAGACTGCAGCAAGTGCCAGGAGACAAGAGAGCAGCATGCTAAAAGATGTTGAAGGAAAGATAGTGTGAACCAGATTTTCAAGATCTGACCAAACTGCCCTTTAAATATAAACTCTTTTAGAAATTACTAGGGCCAGGAGTTGCTGGCGCATGCCTTTAATCCCAGTATTCAGGAGACAGAGGCAGGCTGATCTCTGTGAGTTCAAGGCCAACCTGGTCCAAATAGTGAGTTCCAGGACAGCCAGGGCTACACAGAGAAACCCTGTCTTGAAAAACGAGACAAAAAATTGAAGATCTCAGTGTCTTGGCCTCCTGGACCAAATAATTGACAGGGCAAAAACATACTTTCAGTGACCTCCTCACAAGGATCTGCAGGGAGGAGAGCACATTAGACACGGTGCTGAGCAGCAGCAGCAGTGTAGGGAGATTTGCTTTCCTGAAGGTGGATCAGCTCCCACCAGGAGAAATCAGGATTTGGCTTAATATTGCAAAGCCTGAGATGTAAAAGCCCAGAAGACTTTATGCCCTGAACAAATATTAAGTTATGCATTAGGTACTAAGTAACAGGGGATCCTCTAGTTCAATAAAGTATAATTTGTAAAATGTAGAAAAAGAAAATTAGGCCATCTACTGTTTATTGGTCTTTAGGAATTATGTAACCTGAAAGAGTAGAGTAGATAAATAGTTTTCCAGTTTTTAAATCAGTTAGGGTTTTTTGTTTGTTTATTTGTGTTTTTTTGAGACAGGTTCTCATTTTGTAGCCCTAACTGTCCTGAAACTCACTGTGAAGACCAGCAAACTCAAAGACATTTGTCTTAGCCTCCTGAGTGCTGACGTTAAAGGCATGTACCATTACACCCACTAGTCTTTCAAATCGATGTCCAAATTTTTATGAAAATCACCATTTGTCAAAAGTTTTTATGACCATTTTTTAGACATTAAAAACTATAAAACAGAGCCTGGAAATGGCTGAACAGTTAAGAGCATGTGCTACTGTTGCAGAGGATCCACGTTCAGTTTCGAGCCCCATGCCCAATGTCTCACAACTATCTATAACCTCCAGGGGATCTGACACCTTCTTTTGAGCTGCTGGGGCACCTTGTGTACATGTGCAGATGCGCATGCATAGACAGGCACACATATGCATGATTTAAAATAAAGTAAATGCTTAAAGTATAGAATAAAAAATTAAAAATAAAAAATGAAGAACTTTAAACTGGGTAAACAGCATTAAGATGCCGAGAGTGATTAAAATTTGTTGATAATTTACCCTTATTAAGAAATAAACAGACCAAGAGGTGGTGGCACACACCTTTAATCTCAGCACCCAGGAGTCAGAGACAGGCTGATACCTGTGAATTCAAGGCCAGCCTGGTCTACAAAATGAGTTCCAGGATAGCCAAGACTGCTACTCAGAGAAATCCTGTCTCGGAAAAACAAACAAATAAAAAACTATGTCCCTTAGTACAAATAAAGTTATCTCTGTTTCATGTCCTGTGTGCTGGAAGTGTGTAGAAGAATCTTCATGCTGATACTCTGCTCCTCCTGTTTTTTATGAATTAGCAAAATAAAAAAAAATGTTTATATGTAGCCCTGATGACAGTTATGAATGCCACACCAAAAACCACCAAAAGGAAAGAGCAACACCAGGCTATGTAGAGACCTGTTTCAAATTCTCTCTCTCTCTTTGCTAGAATCTTTCTTTCTTTTTTTTATTTTTTGAAGTGCTTTATTTTTTTTTAATTGGCTTTTAAAAATTAAAGAGTGATTCTATGACAAAAGCAGTTTGGTGGAAGAAGAGACTCAGACTTGTAGCAGCTAGTACTGTGCTTCACCGAGAGCACAGCTGTTCTGTGTACCTACCAGATTCTTCAATTTTAAGTACTCCTTGCTTTGATATCTGAGCTCCAACTTGACTTTGAGATAGAATTTGATTGTTACTATTTTCTGACAGTTGTTTCCTTATATGTTGTTTTGTGGAAGGCTATATTTTTACTTTAAGGAGTGTAAAAATCAAGGTTGGCTTGCATTGCATAGCTTAATTCAGTGAAAATTAAATTAATAGAGTAAAAAGAGACAGTTCTTCACCCTATGGTATGGAAGTCAGTCTGGAGGCAAGTTTGCAAATGTCTTTTTGTTTTTGTGGGTTGTTTTGTTTTTTTTTTGTTTTTTGTTTTTTTGGTTTTGAGACAGGGTTTCTGTGTTTTTCTCTGGCTGTTCTGGAACTCATTCTGCAGACAAAGCTGACTGCCCTGGAACTTATTCTGCAGACAAGGCTGACCTTGAATTCTGAGATCCACTTGCTGGGCTTAAAGTTGTGTGACACCACTTCCCGGCTTGTTGCATTATTTTACAATATGAAGAGTTTTATAAAATAATTGTAGAGGTTTGTTTAGCTGAATCATTCTAGTTTGCAGGTTGGGTATCTGCTCTCTTGCCAAACAAGTAACAAGTAAGATACTTCCCTCTAAGGAAGATGGAGAGGAGTGTATGATGACAGTTTATCCTTATATTATATTAGAGTTATAATCAGTGTGCACTGTTAGTAAAACTCAGTATATCATGATTCATCGTTGGCTGTGGTAAAAATCATGTACCATAGCATCAAGAAAACAAAGTTACTTAACTCAGTATATTCATTTTTATTAGGATAAATGAAAATTGAAAAGGTATTTAGAAACCTATCCTCAGTTTCTGAACAATATCATAATATGTGTGTATAATAATTAAGAGATGTATTTAGTATCATTAAGAGGAAAGTTCAGGATTTCTTTGAGGATGTGAAAACATACATACTGATTTCATTTTGGCACATATGACAGGAACAAACTAAAACTGTTTAATCTGTTGCTTTGTTCTCATAGATGTGCATGGACTCAGAAAAACATATGATCTACACCTTTGGTGGTAGAATTTTGACATGTAATGGCAGCGTAGATGACAGCAGAGCTAGTGAACCACAATTCAGTGGTTTGTTTGCGTTCAGCTGCCAGTGTCAAACCTGGAAACTTCTTCGGGAGGACTCCTGTAACGCTGGCCCTGAGGACATCCAGTCTCGAATTGGACATTGCATGCTCTTCCACTCAGTAAGACTATTCTGTGTCTTGTGTACCTTTATAGGAAGACATCAGTAAGAAAGCAAAGTTTTCCACTAGAAATGAACATTAGCAGTGAGCTGTCATCTAGTCATTTCCATCAACCTAGGAACTCCTAAGTGATTGTGACCTTAGATAAAGGTAGACACTCTATTCCCTACTTTACTGGCTACCTAGCTGTTGGGTAGTTAGCTCTCTTTTTTAAGACTTAACCATTTGCAAACTTTTCTTAGCAATTAGGTAGATAATTTTGAAATTACTTTTTTCTGTTGCTACTCTCAATTAATTACATACTGATTATATAGAATTAGAACAAGAGTTTACTGACAAAAACAAAAAAAAATCTTCCTTAGCTTTTTGAAGTAGGTGATCCTTCTTTCTGTGAACAAAGTATTAGAACACATGTTATATAACTTGCGTGTTTTAAAATGTTCTTTATATGAAGTACAAAGGAGATAATAGTGAATTTCAGTGTACATATCTGTCAGTTTGATCAGTAAACTGTCTGTATTTTTAATATATCTCCTTTAATTATATTCCCTATTATTTTTAGAGCTTATTACATTTTATTATGCAGGAAGACCTCAGCTAAGATGTCGTTATTTAGCAGATCTTTCATATCTTTGAGCTATGCATCCACATATTCAAGCAACCATGAACTAAAAATATTTTTTAAATTTTTTTGTCTCCACTGAACGTGTATAGACTTTTTAAAAAACCCTTTATTTACTAAAAACTGCTCTCATGTCCTACAGTCTATACTAGGTATTAAAAGTAATGTAGATATGATTTAAAGTACATTAAAAGGATATGTATATGTTATGTACAAATCCTAAGGGATTTTGGGGTCACCCAATTTGTGAATCAGTATGAGGACCTGTGCTGATACTGAGGGACAATTGCACCTATAAATGATACTAGAGTGTATGACAGACAGATACAAACTTTTAAAAATGGTGTTACTATTATCATACTCATCATAGTCGAGCAGTTTATTAATATTATATAATGCTGGTCTGCATTCATATTGTTCTCCTTTTCAGAACTGGCTTGTTCAGATCCAGACCAGGGTACACCTGTACACTGCAGTGTGCCCTTCTTTGCTCCACACTCTCCTCACTCTGAGTTTTTAAACATCTGCAATGTTTTCTATTCTAACTTCTCTGATTGCATTATTTGGTGTGGTTCTCTATCATATTTTTTATAAACTAGTCATTTCTATATGGAGGCTTGATTTATAGTCGCTATCCTTTCGGGGAAGCCAGGAAGAGACACTTTACCACTACTCTGGCTGATCGTAGGGTGTCAGGAGGCATCTAATGATGTCATGTTTCTTGTATATATTAATGAGTTTAGGAATTATTAGTTTGAGTGATCAATTACGAAATTTCCTGTAACCTTTACCTATTGATATTCAATGGGTATTCATTGTCTAGATTTCATTAGTTATCGCAAAATGGTGATTTTTCTGATTTAACTGTAATTTTGGGGGGGGGGTTGATTATTTTGATTTTTGGTTTTTTGAGACAGGGTTTCTCTGTGGACAGCCCTAGCTCTCCTAGAACTAGTTCTTGTAGACCAGGCTATCCTTGAACTCACAGAGATCTACCTGCCTCTGCCTCCTCAGTGCTGGGCTTAAAGGTATGTGGCTATTTTTGTGTTTTGTTTTGTTTTTTTTTAAAGAACAACAAAACATCCTCTTTATGTCATGACTTGTTTGGTTATTCTAAAATGAAACCATATGATTCTTGGGCCAGGTCTAATGATGCACACTTGTGATCCCAGCACCTTGGAGACTAAGACAGGCAGACCATGAGTTTGAGATCAACCTGGGCTATGCACAGCAAGTTCAAGGCCAGAAACACATAGAAAAACCTTGTCTTAAAAAAACTAAATGAATTGTTGGGTGTGGTTGTACATGCCTTTAATATGAACAGAGGCAGTGGTAACCTCTGTGATTTTGAGGCCACCCAGGTCAGCCAGAGCTTTGTAGTGAGACTCTATCTCAAATAGATATCTGATTGTTTTGTTGATTTGCATGTTAATGAATTCAGTTTCCAAAGTTAACCAATGAGGTAGTAAAAAGCATTGTAATTATGAGCTCATGAATTTTTATATACATCACACTTTAAATTCCGTGCTGTCATTTTTAGGGTCTTCTACACACACACACACACACACACACACACACACACACACATTTGTTTTTTGCTAAAACAAAGGACAAATCATGAGCTCTCACTGGTAAATCTAATTCAAATTAAGTTTGTTTTTTTTTTCTTACTCACTTTGGTTTTTGTACTTGTTTATCTTTTAAGGCCGAAGTCTTATTTGTATTACATTACTTGTTTCATCTGTGAAAGTTTTTCGGTTGTCAAAGCTAACAGCAAAATCACTAGTATTTGCAAAATTAAAATTGCTTTCAGTTTAATTTTTAATTTAGTACTTAGGCTATAAGGATATATTATCAAAAAACTGAACTAAAAATTAGTATTATACTTCTGATTGTGGTGAGAATTCTGTTTATACATAAAGTCATAGCTTTATATATAGATAGTTTTTTTCATTTTTGCTTGTTTTTAAATTCAGTATTCTAAAAAAATATATATGGTTATAAAATATAACTAAGTCAAGGTACTTTTATAGATAGCTCTGTGTTTTATTTCAAGCACAAGAAGGCTTGTCCTTCATTATGTTTTGATTTATCCAATGAAATTTCTTGCTTGCTTGCTTATGCTCCCTTTTGCTCTCTGACAGTCCTACTTGCTGTCTGTCCTAATAGGTGGTGTGCAGGGCCTCTGCAGTGCCAGTTGTGGCATGAAGAGAGCTGCCTCTCCTCATCCAAGCAAGGGAAGGTTATGTGGGATCTCTTAGGAACTACTGTTAAGAGAGCTGGAAAGTTGGAAAGATCATTCTGAATTCTTCATTGGAATGACAACTCCCCTTTTTCCTTTTTTTTTTTTTTTTTGTTTTGTTTTTGTAGAAAAATCGTTGCCTATATGTCTTTGGTGGCCAGCGATCTAAGACCTATTTGAATGATTTCTTTAGTTATGATGTGGACTCTGATCATGTAGACATAATTTCAGACGGCACCAAGAAAGACTCTGGAATGGGTAAGAATATAGAATATCTCTCTCGTGCTCTAAATGCTTTTTTTTTTTTCTTAACAGGGTTTCTGTGTAGCTTTGGAGCCTGTCCTGAAACTAGCTCTATAGACCAGGCTGGCCTCAAACTTACAGAGATCTCTGCTTCCCAAGTGTTGGAATTAAAGGCGTGCGCCACCACTGCCTGGTACTCTAACTACTTTTTATAGAAAAGTGATGTCCATTTTCTTCTCTTTCTAACCGTCCTTCATACTTTCTTTACTTCTTTAATTGAAATAATTCTGAATAAGAGGAATAAAACTCTCTAATTTCATTTGTTTAAAAATATGGGATTTACTATTTCTTTTAAGCAGAAATACAAGTTTCTGAAGTTAACGCGTGTGTGTGTGAAAGAGAGAGAGAGTCAGAAAGAGAGAGAGAGATCAATCTTAAGAAGTATTCTGCGTTTGCTGATGCTGTCTACTTGTTTTCACTGCAGCGAGCTATAGATGAAGCATCAGCATAGTGGAGTCTGCTGTTCTGAGGGAGTTTTCATGCAGTCCATTATACCTGCAAGCTTACAAGATGGTCATCTAAGTAGCTGATCTCCTGCTACTAAGGTGGCTCTTTACTAAGCTCATGCACATTGCCCTGGCATGGCTAGTAAGACACCGTACTTACTGTTTTTAAAAGTCTTATTTTGATCCTTTTCAATGAGCCAACACAGTAATTGCTTTACCAGTGAATACTATATAGAAGAGTCGATTTGATTAAGGCCCAGTTTGGCACTGGGGTTAGAAATTAGATCAGCTTGCTTTTCATTTTAGCTGCCATTTATAAAAAAGATCCTTTTATCAATGGTGCTTTTACAAAATACATTTTTAAATACTTGTGTCAGAGCAGCGGAGGTAACTGTGTCAGTAAAGTGCTGTTGCACAAGCGTGAGGAGCCCAGTTCAGATCCCCAGCACCCATTCAAAAGCCAGACATGGTTGTGTGTGTCTGTAAGCCCAGTGCTGGGGAATAGAACACGCAGGTCATTGGGGCTTGCTGATCAGCCAGTCCAGCTGCATCAGAAAACTAGTAAGTTAGAGAACAGTAGAAGAAAAGGCACAGTGTTGAGCTCTGGCCTCCACGGGCACTAAAACAGACGTCCACCACTCACCACCCCCAACACACATATAGCCACAAATACATATGTTGTAGGTATCATTTATTTATAAGCAGTATTTTGAGTAAGCCTCTTCTTTTAATTAAAGTAGTTATTTACAACTTTGTTATCCTTAGTCACAGTTATGACTGGCAAAGTTGTGGCAGTTCTTTTTGTTGTTGTCATAATTAGAAAAGTAATGATCTTATGGTAGAGAATCTAAAACAACACCAAAAACAAGCCAGAATGATACCAAAAAAATCTTAATCATCCAGAGATAATATTGACATTTGATGCATCTCAGACTCCTTTAAGAGGGTATTTGTATCAAATTTTATTTCAGATATTTTAAATTTTATATTTCATTTTTGTGGTATTTTTTTCTTTATCATAGTTTTCTTGCTGAACTAAAAGTAACAGAAAGGCCAGTTACCTCATTCATTAGTCACTGCCCCAGCCAATTCTTCCAAAATCAGAGCTACAGTTCTGCTGTGCATTGTTTGAGTTTATAATTGGTTTATAGGGAATTAACCACACAAAACAAACAAATCCATTGATTAATTTAATAATATTTATTGATTATTTACTAGCATTTAAGGTATATAGACCCTCTCTCCTCAAATATTCTCTTGTCTTCTATTTACCAAGGATTTTTCTAGGCACTAAGGATCCATATGTAGACTCTGGGGATTAAGCTAATTCAAAAAGCTCATACTCCAGTGAAGGTGACCTACAGTCGCATTCTGAGCACTGCGGAGAGAAGTTGGAGGCTGTTGTAATGAGAAGCATGAGAGTGTCATTTAGATAAAGGAGTTTGGGAACCATCTCTGCAGAGGGACTGGAGATGATAGAGAGTTAGGAAGAACCACCCATACAAAGGACTGGAGATGATAGAGAATTAGGAAGAACCACCCATACAAAGGTTTTCCCCCTAAATCAAGTTATTGAAGTGTTTATTTTCTGGGTCTAGATTTGATGTCTTTTGAAGATATCAGTCTTGTTTAATAATATATTTCCAAGTGGCTGATTTTTACAGTAATCCTAGGAGTTTCATTGCTCAAAAAGCTCCAATGTGTGCACATGTTTACATTGTTTACTGAGAAGTTTTCTGGCAGTGTTGAACATCTGCTTTGTACAAGCTGGAAAATGCTACTAAAACTCTTACAGAGTTATACTTGAATTGAAGAATATAATGGCTCAATTGACCTATCAGAGTTCAACTGAAATTACGTTTTTGCTTTTTTTTTTTTGTCTGCCCTCATCTATACCTCTCCTTTCCTTTTCCTTCCTTCCTGTTCCCTTTCTCATTCTTTCCCTTTCTGCTTTCCCTCTTTCTCTCTTAGAGGGTTTGAGTACCTGGCAGGGATTGAGAGCCTCAGTCTAGTGCTCAGGTCCTATTTCAGTTCTTATCAGGTAGGCTTACCTAGTACCTCAGACTGTGCATATACACTTGTAAATTGCCAGGATTAATTTGAAGAAAAGTGGTGGCCTACTCACAGCCTCTCTGAGTAGAGGCGGACTGACTCTCTACTTGGCTGGTACTGTTGAGTATCTCAGTTTTCTCCAGAAGGTGTCCTCACCACCCTCAGGTGGCATTGATTCAACCAGTAACCTCAGTTTTGTAGCATGTCTCTGCCCGTTGTCACTTTATTCTGTACTAATCTGAGATGTCTCACCCATTTGCCCTTTGTCTTCTTCTCCCCATCTGCCTTCCTCTTCCCAGCCCATTCTCTACTGCATGACTCATGAAGGACAGAACCATAGGCCTAACGTTTAATTTGTAGATGATTTTTTATCATTTACCAGGTACCAAACGACAAACTAGGCACTAGGAATACAAGTATGAGTATGGGCTTTGTCTTTATACGCCCTTTTTGTTCATGGAAAAGACAAGTAAGTTGATCTGACTTTTTGATTAGAGCTAATTCTGATAAGAAGAATCTTTATAAACAGCCTGCCTGCATGATGGGCTGAAGCTTGGCCCCGCAGCCCTGTACTGCTTGTTTCATCAGGACTAAGTAGTACCTTTAGAGATAACATGCGTTTTCTTGTGTTTGAACTTCTACCATGCTATTTCCCCGGTTTTTCTATCTTACCTCTAAAATCTAATTTTGGTCACCTCTCATATTTTACCTTGTAGATTTTGGTCTCTTGAAATTCTTTCCTAACATCTCAAGATAGTTTAGGGACTAAAGCATGTGGTTCTGACCTTAATTGCTAACACTATTACAGATGCAATCTTGACTCTGCATTTCAGAGGTATTACGAAACTCTGGGGGAAGGACACATCCATAAATCTCCTTTTAAAATATCCTGCACAAAGTTATTCAGAAAAGCTCACATCAGGAAGTATTGTGTTTGCATAGAATTATTTTTACCTTACTTTAATCAGTGTACACTTAAATTTTATTTTATCTTACTAGGGCACTACTTATCTTTTAAGGCACTAAAAATTTTTTAGTAATGAAGTGGAACACTATTGAATTTCTCACATTATTAAATGTTCCTAGAAAATACCCATTATTTAGATATTTGGTAATGTATTAAACCATTCCAGTGCTTATTAGCTGGGTTTTTTTTTTTGAAGTTTTTATATTTCAGTTAATTACTGTAATTTGAAATAGACTTAATATATAATTATAAGTTTGTATTTCACTCATGTGGGTTATTTGATTAAGACTACATTTACAATGTGAGTTTTACATTATATTGTTTGAAATCACAGAGCAGAATTTTTATCAGTTGAGATCCCCATTTAGAGATAGTTTATCTCTTATAGCAAAATTGCTGCTTTCTGTTGATGTTTTTCATGTGTCAAGCACTGTAAGATCTCCAGCCATTGCTCTTTATAATTATTTAAATATATTATCTTAGATTTAACATCAACATCTAGAAAGACAAATCTTTTTATTTTCTAACTTGGCTCAGTTTTTTATTTTCTAACTTGTGTATAACAGTTTTGCTCTTCCCTTAGAAGAAAATTATAATTTAAATTAGCGGATGGTAGTTGCTTAGAAAGAAGGAGATTTTTTAGCTTTGTGTTTTTAACATCAAAATTCAGTATGCTAAAAGTTGGTCTCTTTCTATGTTGCCTTTGGCATTAGTGCTGTGAGCACAAGCAGTTTAGCATACTTCTCACATGTAAGTTCTGTGTTTACCAGCATTTGAGAATTATGTTTAGAAGATAATTTGTCACCTGCTTAGCTTTATAAATTGCTGTAGAGCATCTGTGTTAGAGCGCTTCTGTTTGGTTGAGGCCAGCATTGTATGTGAAGCCTTCCCGATGTTGCAGATGCATTGTTGATGCAGAGCTCCTAGGGTCTCATCCCGCTAATGTAGTAGATTCCTGTTTACTTGTTTTAGTTTTTAAATTATGTCTCTTCTGCCTTCCCATACTTGCCACTCTTTATTCCATGTGTTCTAGCTATTGTAGCAAATTGATGTATTTGATACAGTAAATTGAATCAAAAGACTTGGTCTCTCTTCATCTAGGTCTTCACCATTAGCAAAATTGTATAACTTCTCTGGACCTTATTATCCATCTGAAAATGAGAGGGTTGACCCACCTGAGCTCAGAGTTTCATCCATCCCTGAAAGTATTAGATTTCACCCTTTTTTTCTATTATACCAGGGTGGTATGAATAATGTCTGCAATGTCTTGGTTTTCTATCAGTTTACTTTCATGGAAACCTTAAAAGCAAAATTATCCTTTAATTTTCCCCATGGGACTGTGTTTATTATGCTTATTGACATTAAAGAAAGTAAAAAGATGAAAGAAGGTGCTTTGGATTTGCCCCTTTCACATTATTCCAATCAGCAGGACCAAGTTTGGCAGTACAGAGACTCCCAGCTAATGACCTGTTATTCTTAATATTAATTACTAAGCTGGAATGATAATTTTTCTTGTTCCATTTTTGAGACAGGGTCTTATGTAGCCCAGACTGGCCTCTAACTGGCCATGTAGTGGAGAATTTTGATCCTTTTACCTAACCTCCCAAGTGTTAGAATTACACTACAATACCTAGTTTATGGAGTACTGGGGATTGACCACATGGCACACATACAAACATAGATGCATGCAAAACACTCATACAGATAAAATAAAAATGTCTTTGTGAAAAAAATAATAATTCACACTGTTATTGCCTATTTAGAAGCCATTGTCCCTTTTCCTTTTTATTGTTTTCTTTAATGGCACAGTATCAGTACCAGGGATGAATCGTAGTCACAACCTGCCATCATTAGCCTTTCACAGATTATGTCACTTTACTGTGTCAGTTCTGGCTAGCCACCCATGGCAGTGTTGTATGGTATTTAGAAAATGTCCTTTCTAATGACAATAGAGAGGTGCTGAAGGAGTCCACTCCATCTCTTAAATGCTCTTTGTAAGTATGTGACACTTAGAGCTGGAGCTAGCAACTTTGAGGAAAGATGGGCAGACCAAGAACATTGCAGAGGTGTGAATTTAACATTATAAGTTAGTTGATGTGTTAGGACAGTCCTGGAGTTGGCACAGGTTACTTGGGTTTCTAACAGAGAAACCATAGAGAGCTGTCTTGTTTCATGTTTCTTCAGTTGTGAAATTGTTCTTTGCCTATGTTTTAGCTAAAGAAATTAGTAATGAGTATGTTCTTTGGACCATGAAGCAAAATAAAGGTGATACTAGTTCATTAATTAATAGCATAAATTTCTTCAGAAAATGAAAGAACTTCAAAAATATTTTCTTTCACTTCCCCCCATCCCCTGTTGTCTTGTAAGTAGAAAATTCTGGCATCCCTGCTTATCTTCTGGTCAAACCAAGGAAGGAGAAACAAATAACATTCAGACTCTCACTACTTTTGACTTCTTTTATTAGTCCTGTTTTAAGTTTAAAGATGCTTGTTTGTTTGTTTTTTGATTTTTCGAGACAGGGTTTCTCTGTGGCTTTGGAGCCTGTCCTGGAACTAGCTCTGTAGACCAGGCTGGTCTCAAACTCACAGAGATCCGCCTGCCTCTGCCTCCCGAGTGCTGGGATTAAAAGAAAAATATGGACGGAAGTTTCTGTCCTGCCAGGTCTTTCAGCTGTTCAGTCCCAAAGAAACACACAGAAGCTTATATTAATTATAAACTGTTTGGTCTATTAGCTCAGGCTTGTTATTAATTAGCTCTTTCAACCTAATTTAACCCATAATTCTTGTTCACATTTAGCACATGACTTGGTACCTACTTTCAATGAGGCAGTTTCATTTTGCTTTCTCAGCATCTGGCTGGTGACTATCTCTGCCTTTCCTCTTCTCAGAATTCTCTTAGTCTGATTGTCCCATCTATACTTCCTGCCTGGCTGTTGGCCAATCAGTGTTTTATTAAGCCAATACGAGTGACAAGTCTTTACAGTGTACAAAAGCGTTATCCCACAGCAGGAAATTTGAAGCATTATTGTAATTTTTAGACAGACCAAAAATAACAGACTGGCACATATTTGCTGTATAATTCCTGTTTTCAGACAAGTGTGTGTTCAGAAAGTGTGTGGAATTAATTTGTGATCTCAGGCAAGTGTACATTCAGAATGTGTGCAGTATTGTGATCTCAGACAAGCGTGCATTCAGTATTGTGATCTCATTTACTTATCTGCTTGATTCATTTCTTTCTGTGAGTCAGGGTGTAGAGACTGGTGAAAGTTTCTGGCATTTGGTCAAGCTTTTTAAAAGCAGTTGAAATGAAGAGCATTTTAAATCACATGTATTGCCGGGCGGTGGTGGCGCACGCCTTTAATCCCAGCACTTGGGAGGCAGAGGCAGGCGGATCTCTGTGAGTTCGAGACCAGCCTGGTCTACAAGAGCTAGTTCCAGGACAGGCTCCAAAACCACAGAGAAACCCTGTCTCGAAAAACCAAAAATCAATCAATCAATCAATCAATCAATCACATGTATTACAAATCTCTTATATCCCCCACACACTGCCCCTGCCACCTCTTAAAAACTATTAAAGTAAAAATACAGCCTTGTTTTCTTCTTGGGAAGAAATAATACAGAAGACCAGATTAATAGTTATGGAATGTTAGGATAAAATACTCTTTTTTTTTAACCTTTGGTTCTTTTGGAGTTTTGATTTTTATTCAGTCCAGTTTTTAGTTTTATTGTTATAAAAATGGTGCATTAATTAATAAAGGAGGGTTCAAAGAATGTAGGATGTTTTGGTACAAAGCATTATTGCCAGAGTAGCTAGCATAATCTGCTAATTTCTTTACCCAAATTCAACCGAGGAGTAAAAACGCAGGAGAGGCAAGTGGAGTCTAAAAATGTAGTCTAAGTGATCCAAAGTATCTCTCTCCGAATTGCTTTGAATTATTAATTCTTGTCCCCTCCTTATAGAAGCACATAGCAGTAGCCCATTCATTGTCAGAATCCAAAGAGCATCATTGTGCAGTGCAGGTGACTTTGCTACTGTTCTGTTGCCTTGGCAAGATACCATGACCAAGGCAACTTACAAAAGAGTTTAATTTGGGATTCATATTTCCAGAAGATTAGACCCCATGACCATTATGGCAGGGAACCTAGCATTAGGCAGCTAAGAATGGCACTAGAGCAGTAGCTGAGAGCTTACATCTGGACCATAAACGGGAAGCAGGGACAGAGATACTGGGTGACCCCCAGAAACACTCTTCTTCCAACAAGTTCACACCTCCCAGTCCTTCCCAAAAAATTCTACCAACTAGAATGAAGCATTCTCATTCAGATGACCACAGCAGGAACGCGGGTCATTTCTTCTACTTTGTCTCTTTCAGTGACTGGCTCCTGTTTTATTCCCCCAAAAGGTTGAAAAAATGTTGAATCCTCATGTAGGAATTTGTTAGTACACAGAAGTGGTTGACGTTTTTTTTGTGGATAGACTTCACTCTGTTACATGGAGCTGGGCCCCTTGTTTGTCCCGGTTAGCTTACACCCAAAATAACCACACAGAAACTGTATTCATTAAAACACTGCTTGGCCATTAGCTCTAACTTCTTATTGGCTAACTCTTACATCTTAATTTAACTCATTTCTATTAATCTATGTATTGCCACATGGCTGTGGCTTACCGGAAAGATTCCAACCAGTGTCCTTTTCAGACAGAAAATCCATGGAGTCTCTCACTCTGCCCTTCTTACCAGCATTCAGTTCTGTCTTCTCTATCAGGCCCAAAGCAGTTTCTTTATTCATTAAAGCAACACATGAACAGAAGAACCTCCTACACCATCACTCCTTTATGGCTCTTCTCTTGTTTTCCATAAACTCACTGATACTGGTTCAGTTATGGCCTCTGACTTTATCTTATCCAAAAGAATATATTGCTCATTCTCTGAAAAACAGTATCTCCTCACAGACCAACATGAATAGACACTAGAGGACTATTGCTGTCTCAAAAGAAATCAATAAATTCACAACATATGTAATCAAAACTAAAGTATATGAACCATGAGTCTAAAGAAAACATGGTCAGAACTTCCACATTCAGTAATTTTCCCAAATGAAGAGCACAATCAGAAGCATCTATTAAATGTTGTATAGGTCTTTTAGAAAACATGCATGGAATTGTTTTATTGTCTTTAAACATGTAACTTTAGAAGAAAAGTGATAGTGTAAATATTAGGGGAGGTGATAAATAACATAACCACAAATATGACCACAGCAAAACTGAGAGACTACAAACATTTTGTTGACCTTGTAATCAATGAGGGCAAGATTCTGCAAGGAGAAATAATGTGTGTAGTGAGTGTATTAAGTACTTTAAAAGCCAGTCCTGGCAACAGCCCTCTACCTCGCCTCAACCCTAGTCTTGATCTTTAATTCCCGAGTGCTAGGATTATAGGGGTGTATGTTACCTTGCCTGCATAAAATGTGTTGTATCATGGTTTCGATTTATACTTCTTAAGGACTAATGATATTGAGTACTATTTACTGTGCTTATTGACCAATTCTGTGTATTCTTGGAAATGTTTTACCTGTTTTAAAATTAAGAAAGAGTTATAAATTATTTACCTTGTACACAAGTCTTTTAGATGTATGACGTACAATTCTTTGCTCACACTATGTAAGTTGTCTTTTTATTTTTAAAGTTGTTTGCAACTCTCGTTCTGGTGCTTGCTCTTGTGCACATATTCACACTTGCATGTTCTCTTTCTCCATCCCTCTCTCCCCCTCCTCATTCCTTCTCCCCCCACCACTTCCTATTTGTGTGTGTGTTATATATATGTTCTACTTTAGACACCAAGAATCAAGTACTGAACAAAGCAACCTCTACCTTTATGTCACTCACATTCTAGAGCAGAAAGGAGGCTGTACACATGTTGTTTAATACAAAAGGCTGTGGGGGTATGTTAAAAAATAAATGCAGTGGGTATATAGAACAAAATGAAGATCTGCTGTTTATTGTAAATATTGTAAAAATTTATGTATTCCTTCCATTTTTAGTACCAATGACAGGATTCACACAGAGAGCAACTATTGATCCAGAACTGAATGAAATACATGTCTTATCCGGACTTAGCAAAGACAAAGAAAAAAGGGAAGAGAATGTCAGAAATTCATTCTGGATTTATGACATTGTGAGGAATAGCTGGTAAGGACTCCTGTCTGTGCTGAAATTCCAGTAATATGTAGATGAAGTTGGTTTATTTAAATATGAGCAGAATGGGAGCAATGTATTAATTCATGATATTGAAAGAATATTAAGTTTTGTGACATATTTTGAGACAAACTTACTATATAGTCTCAGCTGGCCTTGGACACATGGTTTCCTTGCTTATGCTTGGGATTATAGTTGTGAGCCACCCCACCTGGCCTAAAATATCAGTAATGTAAAGAAATCAGTGTCGTTGATAAGATCAGTACTTGTGTATACAGTAACATTAAATGAGTGGGATTTACTCTGTTGTTCACTTTATACTTCCTGTCCTGGGGCTTTAAAGAGTTGTATTTTGCTGTAAGTTACCACCAAGTAGCTAGGTAAAGTTGAAACTTATGTTCTGCTAACATCTCCATGTGCTAGTGCTGCTGAAGGGTAGGTTTGACTTAGTATTCCTAAGCCAAGGCTTGTCTCAGAGCATCTGGCAGAGCAGATGCTGCCTGTTCTGCTTGGGAAACAGTTGCAGAAGATCCAGCTCTCGTACTCAGTGACAACAGAAACACTTCCAAGAACCAGCTCCATTTTCTATGACAATATGCTCAGCTACTGTGAGATCTGTTGTTTTCTGAGTAAGACATTTTGTTTGCATTCAGAATGAGAATGTGCTTGAGTCTTCTGCTGTGAGTACACAGTAAAACACACCTTCACTTTTAGCTCTTCGTGTATACAATTCCTGTTTCCAGGCACAAGATAGCTTCTTCTGAAGTGAGCTATTTTGAAATGTCAGAACTAGTTCTAACAAGTACATGTCCCTTTATGAGAGTTTCTGACTTTGTACTTGGATGTGAACAAGTGTACATTTCTTCTGTTGATAATTGGGCCTTGGCAGTTAGCTTACTGCCTATAAGTGTATGAACAGTGTGGTTGCTGCTGATCCTTTGAAGTACAGTGTCTTAAAAGCAGTGTCTTACAGGTCTTGTGTCTATAAGAACGATCAAGCTGCAAAAGATAATCTGAGCAAAAGTCTTCAGGAAGAAGAACCATGTCCAAGGTTTGCCCATCAGCTCGTTTATGACGAATTACACAAGGTGCGCGAACCACTTTGCCTGTACATTTTCAATGGACTACAATCTGAAAGTATTCCTGAATAGATCAGTTTTAATATAGAGGCTGACATTTAACAATATATAGCAGGCATTCAATATTATTCTTTTTAACACCTCTCTATACACATAGGGATTGAATTCAGGACCTCACACATGCTAAGCAAGCACCCTACCACTGCACTGTATATCTATTCCCAGCCCCTTTTCACTTTTTATTTTGGCATTGGATAAGTTGCCCAGGCTGTCCTTGAACTCACTATGTAGCCCATGCAAAGTTTACAAGCCTCCTGCATCAGCTTTCCAAGTAGCTAGAGTTGCAGGACTATCTCACTAGCCCCAGTTTTTTCCTAGAATTATTCAAGAGAATAAACCTTTTGTATGGTCCATAATAATTGTTGACACTTTTCATCTTTTGTATTGTTTGGTTTTTTTCCTCCTCTGGTACAGGTTCTTACTATGATATAGCCCAAACTCAAGATTCTTCTGCCTTAGCCTCCCACATGTTGAGATTACAAGTGTACACCATAACATATTTTCTGATCTGAAAATTATCAGTGAATTCTATTTCATTCCATAGAACCAATATATAACGTGTTTCATTGTATATACATTGTGGATATCCAAGTATAAAATTCAGTGTTTTGCATTTTGAGAAGGAACAAGTATACGACTTCCCAGGCATTAGATTTTCCAGTTGTATAGGAAGTCATTTCTTCTATGTACTTCTTATATAAGTGACCTATCTACCAGCATTATGAGAATAATTTTGTATCACTAAGTTTTCAGAGTAGTTTCTGTAATTATTTTCTTTAAATTGGATGTGTAATTTAGCAACTAGACTCAGATTGTATGGAAATAATTTTTTTCTCTTTAAGCTGTAGATGAACATTTAAAATCTGTGCTGTATATCTTGAAACCTTCAGATAAAAGACAACATGGAAATGAATATAAGCCCTTACTCCTAGAGTTTCCCAACTTAAGGGGTTATTGGAGAATTTTTATTTAGTTGGCTAGAAATAATATTTATTTTATAGTACTATAAATATAGATGTTTTCAAATTTCAGGGAAATATTTTAATGTTTAGTATAAGTATAGAAAAACATTGAGGGGCTGGAGAGATGGCTCAGAGGTTAAGAGCACTATTGCTCTTCCAGAGGTCCTGAGTTCAATTCCCAGCAACCACATGGTGGCTCACAACCATCTGTAATGAAATCTGGTGCCCTCTTCTGGCCTGCAGGTATACATGCAGACAGAACACTGTAAACAAAATAAATAAATAAATCTTTAAAAAAAAAAAAAGAAAGAAAAATATTTGAATGATGAAATCACTATTGTAATCATTTTACATTTCTTGTTTGGCATTAATTGAACAATGAAATAATACTCTGAAAGTTATGTATGTCTTTTACTATTTGGCATTTAGGTTAAATCATAGTAAGATGTTAAAGTTTTTTACTAAAGTTTTAATATATTCTTAATCTTCAATGATTCTATTTAAAATTCATGTCAGAATTCTTTTGAATATAACTTATTTTGATCAACACTTGATTAACTAGATAACCCTTTTATTTGTAGTTCTTTAAAATATGTGTTGGATTAGCTTATTCCTACCATGGTTTTTGTTTCATTTCCATTATCTTTTTAATTTTAATGGTATGATTTTAATCTACATGTAGTTTAGGAAAGTGCTTTAAAGTAAAATGGAATGGAGAAAAATCATGGGAAACCTTTGGTAAGAATGTATCAATTTAAAAAATTGTCAAATGAATAAGGCAAAGAGAGTTAACTATCATGTACTCCTGGTAAAAGAAATTTCCTTATGAGTACTCTAGTCTTTTGAGTATGTATGAGTTCTTTAAATCTTGATTTGTCATGTTTCTTCTAGGTTCATTATTTATTTGGTGGAAATCCAGGAAAATCTTGTTCTCCAAAGATGAGACTAGATGACTTCTGGTCACTGAAGTTGTGTAGACCTTCAAAAGACTACTTACTGAGGCATTGCAAGTACCTCATAAGAAAACACAGGTATAAATATAATTTACTAAGCTGGGTATGGTAGCTCACACCTTTCATACAACCTCTCTAGAGGTAGAGGCAGGCTGATCTTTATGAGTTCAAGGACTGCATGGTCTACATAGTGAGTTCAATGACAGCCAGAGTTACACAGTGAGATCCTGTATCAAAGTACATTTTTTCTAACTAAAAGTTTTTAGTTAGCATTGTCAGCTGCTCTTGATATGGCTTAGCTATGGGATGCAGGTCTCGCATTGTTACTGTAAAAGAAGGTAGTCATGTGCTCTGAAGATACTGAGTTTTGTAAATGTATATTTATTTTTGCTTTATTCTTTCAAAGGAAGATACAAAGTAAGGATACATACAGGTATTAATTTTTTAATAAGCAAGTAAAGTTTTCTAAGTATTAGTTGAAAAAATATCGATTGCCTAATAATTTTAAAATTGTGTGATTGATTAGACATGATTTAGTCTTAGTAGCAAGCCTCTAAAAATGAAGAAATGTGCAGTCTTAGGTGCTAAATTATTGTTTGGAAAAAGGTCATCTTTTATTAATGACTGCATGTTGGTCTCTGATTCTTAGTCTCATAATTAGTTATAGAGTGGAGACTACCACTGTCACTATTTTGTCAAGGTGGAAAACTGAGGCAATTTTTGAATGACTTATGTAACTCAAAAGGTCACTCATCTGAAGTGGCAAGGCGAGGGTTTGATCCTGACCTTTTTGACTACAGAGAGCTTCATGTAACCACTGCATGAGGTATGTTTGTGAGTATACATGTACACATATGTGTGCATTTTTATGTTTATCACATATACTTACGTATTAGATTATATGTAGAGTATAATTGCCTAAAATGTCTGCATATGTATAAAGCAAGTCTATGCTTTTTTAACCATATGTTTAATTATTTATCTTTCTTTGCTTTCATAAGTTGTATTTTAGACAAATTAATGCAGAAACCACTTTTAGGCATCCCTGTAAATAAACATGTTTATTTCCAATAGGATCTCAGAAAGTAGCAGATGAGGCTGAATGGACAGAAATGGGGAAAAATTCTGCAAGGCTGCAGCTTTTACTCTGAGAAATAGAAGTTGTTAGATTTTCAGAGATGAGTAACACACTCAGACTTACAAAAAACAGGGTAAAAGGTGTATAGAACTCTTCAGAAACAGTAAGTTTATACATCTGGAAGGCTAAATTTAGTTTAGGAAGCTTTTATGTAATAGGGAAATCATCTGTGAACATTTGAAGAACTGGCTTGAGCTGACATTATATCATTTAGTCATCAGCAGAGGGAGAGCGTGCAGAATGAGGAGAGGAAAAAGGAGGTTTGGTGTTGTCTGGAGGCACACAGCAGGAGAGATTGAAAACGGACAGTAAGTTTCTGGATGAACAGTGAAGGGTCTGCAATAGAAGTATGGATTTGAAACAAAGAGGTGTTAAGGGTGACCCTGGAACATTTATCTACTACATTTGTCAAATGGATAATGGAAGGCCTACTTTAAATGTTTGAAAACATGTAAACCTTTTCTTCTGCTTAAACTTTAGCCAAATTTAAGAGTTTCCTATATACATAGAATAGAAGTCTATAAAGTGACTAATACATTTTGATAGAAATATCATACTTATTGGACAGTCTTTAATTATATGCACTACTAGGGTGATTTTTTTTGTTTTTGTTTTTCTTGTGGAAAGTTATTTCTTCTATTTAATTAATGTATAGATTTTGAGGAAAAGAAGCGTCTTGTGAGCAAAGGATATAAATAGTGTCACCATTAACTTTTCAAATAATATTCATCTTCTAAACTTGATGATGTTTTGTGTGTAGAAAGGACCAAGACTTCTTAAAGCATTAAATTCATGATTAACAGTAGAAAAGAACTGTTGGTTAAACAATTCTAGACCACAGAAGCACCTTTTTGCACATAAAGAAGCCCAGGATGGAAACAACAAAACTCACAAACAAGAGGGCAGACATAGCTTCCAGGAAACTGATTTCTTTACTGAACTTAATAGAATGGAAAGTAAAATTTGAGTTTATTTCACAGTACAGAGGATTGGGGTATGCTTATGGTACGTCAGTTGAAACCGTTATTTTAGCAATAGCCCGGGCATCAAGGTACTTCTCTGCATTATAATAATGAGACCAAATGGAAAGTTGTGTGTGAAGCTAGAACAGTTTCGGCAGCTTTTCTGTTTGCTTCATTGTGTCCTCTTTTTCAGCTGACTTCTTCAGACCTTACTTTCCCTAGGCCTCAGAGCCTAGGCAGGCAGGCAAGCTGGCTGACTGACTGACTATTTTATGACTTCAGCCTACTCCCTTCTCTATGTCTACTTTTTATATGTCCTTCGTCTTAGTTAGGGTTTCTATTGCTATGAAGAGACACATGACCAAGGCAACTCTTATAAAGGAAACATTTAATTGGGTGACTTACAGTCAGAGGTTCAGTTCGTTATCATCATGGTACGTGCTGTGTGCAAGCAGAGATGGGCTAGAGAGATAGCTGAGAGTTCCGCATTTTAGGCAGGCAACAAAACCCACCTCCAGTGACACATTTCCTTCAACAAGACCACACCTATTCCAACAAGGCCACATCTAATAGTGCCACTCCCTTTGGGAGCCATTTTCTTTCAAACCACCACATCCTTATATATCCATCTTTTGGTTCTCTTAAGGAAGAGTTCTTTAAAGAATGTCCCTATTGGGAAGGGTTCTGCCAAGCCACTTGATAAGCTGCTGATCAAGCTTGAGACAATTGCTTTTGGCTCAGGTACCAATATACCTTTATCTAATCTGTTGCAGATAAGCTGGTAGAGTAATAGACCTCTGCTAGGGTCTCTTATCTGAGTACTACCTGGTACAAGAGAACAAAATATTTCACTTTTAATCTTGTCCTTGCCAAAGTAGAAACAACCTGTCCTTGAAGCAGTATCAGCCTGAACATCACTGGGAAAGGTCTTCACCATCTTCCTTACCCAGAGGAAGCTAAGTAGTCTATATTAACTACATAGCATTGTTAAAGGCATCACATGTAATCATCTGTATAATTATATTGTAACAAAAGAACGCTATCTTATTTAATAGCTATAAACACTTGGGGTTTGTTTTTGTTGGTGTCTGTGTGTCTGTGTTGAGACAGGGTCTCATGGGAAGCTTGAAACTTGCTCTATAAACAGGCTGACCTCCAGCTCATAGACATTCACCTACCTCTACTCCTGAGTACTGGGATTAAAGGCATGGGTCACCATGGCAGGCAGATTTTCTTTTTCTTTAACTTAAGAGAATTCTTCCTTTTCAACTGTGAACTTATTCACATGTGTTTGATTGTGATTGTTTTCCAGCTCTTATCTTGACACAATTTGGTGAGGATGGGGCGGGGCACCTTAATTTCTTAGTTGTTTTTACAAATGGTGAAAAATGTCGCCATATCATGACAGTTATTAAAGGATAAATGAAATGTGTAAAATCCCTAATGTAATATCAGGTACATTTTAGATGCTTAGTAAATTGTTACTGTGTTTTTTCTATTGTTGTTATCAATAACTGCTGTAGAAATAGAGGTCAACTGATGGTGGGGTAACCAACCCTAAAGGATACATCTGCTACACAACTCCTGCCCTTAAAGCTAGGGAACATCATGGAAGAAAGGGTGGGAAGATTGTAAGAGCAGGAGGACCAGAAAGTCTGCTGTGAGACTGTGCCTCCTTAGAAATGACAAGGAAGTGACACCCATAATCTGTGCTGAAACCCTCAATGATATATAACTTTCTAAACAAGACCTGAACAATGACAGTGTCAATTGCTAACAGGGAAGGAAGAAATCTTGTCACTAGGCAAAGAACTGCAGGCAACTAAGGAATGCTGAGAGTGGGAAAATTAGGGGGATCGTGCCTGATCCCCCTAGTTGATTACCTAATACCAAGTGGTCAGCCCTGAAATCATATATACACAAGCTTCGTTTTATATATTTATATATGTGTATAACAATAATAATCAAAGAAAAAGTGACCATTAATTTGAAAGGGAGTGAAGGATCATGAGAAAGGTTGGAGAGAGGAAAGGAAAGGGGGAAAATTTAAAAAAAAAAAAAGAAATCTATATTCTCACTCCCCCAAAAAATTTAACCTGTGTTAATGTTACTTACTAAAAGTGTCATACTTGGTCTGTTGTCTGTAATTCTAATTACAGGGCACCTGGTACTTTTTGGCCTCTGAGCACCAGGCATACATGCGCGCGCACACATATATATGCAGGCAAAACACTTATTCACATAAATATTTTTAATTAAAAAGTGCCTTATTCAGCTTCAAAACCATTAAGAACTATCATCATAAAGTCTAGTCTGTTAGTCTAAGAAAGCATTTTGGTTTTGATGTGATACATTGGGGTTATATGAGTGTGTGGCACAATTGTGTGCACACACTGCAGTATGTGTGTAGAGGACAGAGGACAACTTAGGGAAGTCACTTCTGAGGATTGAACTCAGCACAGTAAATGTGGTGGCAAGGAGCCTATCTGCTACACACACTGTTCATAGGGAAGATAAGAAGTGCTGTCACAGACTTTCTAGCAGCACAACTGACATAGCATGTCTGTCGCATCTCTGTGGACTTAACATATGTACTGTGGTTGGGGGAATTCATACTCTTCTAGCTGCTCTACAAAAAATTTTAGATCTCAGAATAGCTCCTCTTTAAGCAGTATACCTTTCTTCACTTCTTAAAGGCATTTCTCATAACTCAAAGTAATTGTTTCCCTTGTTTCGTATTTTCTAGATTTGAAGAAAAGGCCCAAATGGATCCTCTTAGTGCTCTAAAGTATTTACAGAATGATCTTTATGTAACTGTGGATCATTCGGACCCGGAAGAGACAAAAGAGGTAAAGATGGGAGTAAAATTCAGAAATGGATTATTCTTTTAAATGTTTTTCTAGTTTGAGTGCTTAAAGGAAAATGAAGAAAATATGATGCTCTGATCTTGAAGATAATAAAAATATGGGTGAAATGAAAAGTCAGCGGTGGTCAGATGGTAGGTGGCACACACCTTTAATCCCAGGAGGCAGAGGCAGGCAGATCTTAATCAATTCAAGATTAGCCTGGTCTACAGAGTGAATTCCAGGACAGCCAGGGCTACACAGAGAAACCCTGATTCCAAAAAACAAAACAAAACAAAACAAAAAAAAAAAAGGAAAAAAAAGTAATCAGAGAGAGTCAGGTGTGGTGCTAAATGCCTGCATTTCTGCATTCTAACATTAGGAAGGTTGAGGCAGGAGGATCACTAATTAAAGGCTAACCTAAGCCACAAGGTGTCTAAGAACACCCTCCATCCAAGAAGAAAAAAACAAAGAAATTGAGCAGGCATATTTGACTCATTCAAAAAGAATTTTTAGGTATGAAATTTTAAATTAGACATTAGTTTTGTATTTATGGAGGAATTTATTTTAAGTTTAGTTTTTATAGATCATCAAAGATTATATACAGTTGTTCAATATGCCCTTCTGTTGACATTAAGATCTCTTAAGAGAGAAATAAGGGCTGGAAAAATGGCTCAGAAGGTTAAGAGAGCTGGCTGCTCTTCCAGAGGTCCTGAATTCAATTCCCAACAACCACATGGTGCCTCACAGCCATCTATAATGAGATTTGGTGCCCTCTTCTGGCCTTCATGGATAAATGCAGACAGAGCACTGTATACATAATAAATAAATCTGAGATAGAGACAGAGAGAAAACTTCCTCTCCTTGTGTGTAGAAAATCGGGGCAGCTTGGAATGCTTGCAGTGTTAGTATTTATTTATAAAACAGTTCTAGCAGTATAACTTGATTATAGGCTACTAACCTCATTTAACTAATTTCTAACCTTCCAAAATGAGTCTCAGGATGTTGTTCTGTGAGGTAGGTTTCTGTTTTTAAAGGCACATTTGCCTATCCGGTGTGTGAATGTGTCTCACCGGATCTCTGGCGCTTCAGAGATTCCTTTGTCCATTTAGCAGCATCTGAGCTGCAGTCATTTGCCTTTCTCCCAGCTGGTGCTGAAGGATTACGGCTCTGCTCCTTACCCGTTTCCGTGTTTATTGCTGCCTTGCTTTGGCTCTCTAACTGCAGTATTAAACACTTTTCTCCCTTCAGTGTTGACACAGATTTTTATTAATGTCAAATTCTTTCATGTACCAGGATCATTGTATTTTTAAGACAGTAAAACCTGCATGTTTTCCAAACCAAAACAGGCATTCTATCATAGCCTACTGTGGAAATACTTTGTCTTTTTCACTCAGTATTGGCTGCAGTTCTTCATTAGGTATAGAATAAACAAACTACAATTTAGAGCCCTCTGTTTGGTGATAATGAGTTGGTTGTTGGTTTTTTGTTTGTTTGTTTGGTTGGTTTTTCGAGACAGGGTTTCTCTGTAGCTTTGGGGCCTGTCCTGGAACTAACTCCTGTAGACCAGGCTGGCCTCGAACTCACAGATCCTCCTGCCTTTGCCTCCCAAGTGCTGGGATTAAAGGCGTGCACCACCACCACCCGGCAAGTTGGTTGTTTTTGAATGTTTACCTGATTCCTGATACCATTTGAAATGTGGGAAATGACTGTAGTTTTGCTGAGAAATTTAATCTGCCATGGTTTATTACACCATGTAGTTGTGAAAATACACTAATGAACATTTTTGTTGCACCATGCGTTTGAGAGTTCTAAATAGATATCCTGTATTTTCCCATGTTCCATATAAAATGGCCATAACTGGTCACACTTATTTTCCCCTTATTTTTAAAAACCAGACCAAAACAAAACATTTCAGAGTAAATAATCTCAGCTGTGGAAGCTGTAAGTGGGTCAGAGAAAACAGTGTATTCTTGGAGTTAGGGGAAAACCAGGACAGGGAGCTACTGCAAGTTTAGACAGAGCCACTTTACAGTATTGGTAGCGGCTCTAATCGTCTGTGAATCATACATTTCGTCTGATACAGGTTTCCTCAGCATTTTCTAAAAGCTTCAACAAGAGTTGCTTAGCCCCAGAAGTTAGTGAGGTGGCATGTGCTTGTGAACATTAGGAGCATCTCTAAACTTCTCAGCCGTGCCCTCACCCTCGCTTCTATCTGCATGTACAGCAAAACACAGGAAACACTTGATACTGGGGAGGGTGGGTCTATGAAACTATGCTGTGTTCTCAAAATGGATAAGCAGGTTTAACCTTTAAACTACTTTATAATCCAGTATTCTGGGTTGCTTCTTTTTTTTCTTTTTTGTACATTTTACACATTTTTTCATGATTTAAATTAACTTTTCAGTAACCAAAAATATTTTATGTTTGAATAGATATGGAAGTTCTCACAATCTTCATCATTGTATTATAACTAGTATTAGGAGTAACAGCTACAATTTACCATTGTAAATCAAAACATGGTTCTTTGTTTCCTTCAGTCTTTAGGACTTTGGTTCTGAATTGGTAATGAATTTCCAATAAACTTTATAAAAAATTAAATTGAGCCCATGCTTTTGTAAATAATCCCCTCGGGATCCTATTTTTTGTTTGTTCATTTGTTTGTTTAGACTAATAAGATGTAGTTTATAAACAACCACCAAAGAACAAGAAACAAAAGCCCACAAAATAAAACAAAAAAAATCATAAAAAGAGAAATAGGATCAATTGGTAGTAAGAGGGGACCTAGAAAAGTTAGGTATATATACATTATATACTACACATGTATGAAAATGTCATGATGAAACATGTTGTTATGTGTAATTAACATATGCTAATAAAAATGATATTTTTTTCTAGAAAAGGCTTGTTCAGAAGGTACTAACATCCTAATAAGGGAGATAATATAATAAGCATATTAAATAAGCAAATTACATAGTCCATTATCATTTGGAAGGCTAATATAATGTAAGAAAAGTTAAAGAGCAGCACAAGGCGGCCCACACCTGAAACCTCAACACTTGGAAGGTGAAGGCATGAGGCTATGTCATTTCGGGTCATCCTCAGCAACATAGTGAGCTCAAGGCCAGCCTGGGCTACATGAGACCTTGTGTCAAAAAGTCAGTGGCAGGAGGTTGGGCCTACAGGAGATCATAATTTATAAGGGTAAGAATTGGGGCAGTTGAAGTTTTAAATGGGTTCATCATACTGGGCCTCAATAGAAATCAGATTTGCACATAGGCTTGAAAAACGTAAGGGAGTCTCTGAGGAGACAGTGTAGTGAAGACACTTTCCCACAGCTGCACAGAGATCCTTGTAGGTGTGTGAGCATTCTTGCATGGTTTAGGAGAATGGCAAGAAGCCCATGCTTACTGAAGTGGAGAAGTCAGAAGAACTGAAGAAGTGTGAAATGAGGCGTGTACAGAGAGATTGGAAAGGATGAATGGCTTCATAAACCTGGGTAGGACTGTTTTTGCTTTTACTTTGAGTGATTAAGGACTCTTCCAGATATGGTGCATGGGAATGACAAGATCTCTGTATTTTAATTAGACCACCCTGACTACTGTATTGAGGAAAGACCAATAGGAAACAAGCATAGAGCCAGGAAGAGTTGTGAAAGAGGTGGCAGAAGTCTAAACAATAAGCTATGGTAGTTCAGATCACAGTGGAGTGGTAAGAAGTCAAAATAGATTAGAGACTGAGTGTACTTAAAGGTAGAATGGACATATGATGGCTTAAATATAGTTAAAGAACAATGAGTTGAAAGGTGCTTTTCTCTTGGAGGCACTGGGGACTCCTGATTGAGATAGGGGCCTAATTTTGCATATGTCCAAGAAATGCCTGTGAGACCAGGTTGAGGTGTTTAGCTTGCAGTTAGACATTTGAGAAACTTGGGAATGAGGTCTGTAATTCAGTTTAATATCTGTTACAATTATATTATCAGTTCAGTTTACATTGTCAGTTTGTTAAAAGAACAGATTTCTCTGGAACTTCTCCATAAGGAATCAGTGAAGTTTATTTTTCATTTTAGGAATTAGAAAAGAAAAAAGAAAAAGTCAAGATAAAATAAAACATTATTGAAATAAAAAACATGCTATAAAACATAAAGTGGTTCTTTGAAAAAGTAAATAACTTTTATCAAGATTCATGAAGAAAAAAATGAAAACATAAACTATGAACATCACATGTATCTTTGGGTTTTTATTGCCGTGAAGAGACACCATGACCACAACAACTCTGATAAAGAAAGCATTTAATTGAGGGTGGCTCGCTTACAGTTTCAGAGGTTCAGTCCATTATCATCATGAAGGGGAGCCCGGCAGTAAACAGGTGTCATGCTGAGGGAAGTTTGAGAAAAAGACTTCAAAGCCCATCCCCCGTGTGACACAGTTACTCCAACAAGGCCACACCTCCTAATAGTGCCACTCCCTTTGGGGGTCATTGTCTTTCAAACCACCACAGCATGAAACAGTGATGTGGTCACTAGAACTTCAATATGAGAAGAGTAACAAAAAGAAACAGTAGAAAAAACCTCATCAGCACATTGAAAAATGTAATGTAATGGACAGAAGATTACTTAAAAAATATAATTTACCAAAAAAAGATGTAATTTATCAAAACTGACATAAGAAATAAAAGACCTTAAAGAATCCCATATTTGTTACATAGTTGAGTTTGTAATTAAAAATCTTTCAGAAATATTCCAGCCCCAGTGTCTCTATCAGTAATTCTACTGATCATTTAAAAAGCTATAATTAATTCTACATAAACTCAGAAATCAGATGAATTCCTGAATCTGTGTGAATCCTTTGTAATTATGCTGTGAGAGCTAACCAAAGATATTACTATGAGAAAAAATTTATAGACGGGGACTGGGGAAATAACTACCAGCAGTTAAGAGCACTTGCTGTTTTTCCAGAGGACCTGGGTTCAGTTCCCAGCACCCACATGGTGGCTCACAACCATATGTAAGCCTAGTTCCAGGGCATCCAACATCCTCTTCTGGTCTCCATGGGTATCAGAAACTCACATTGTATACAGATTGACATGCAGCCAAAACATCCATAGACATAAAATAAAAATGAATGATAAATCTAGAATATTTGTCCCATTTCAGACTTCTAAAAGACAGTTGAGCCTTACAAAATGTCAGTGTGTAAACATTATCTGAAAATTTAAAGACATCCAAGGAGGTTGAGATAGGAGACGTATGAGTTCAAGGCTAGCCTGGCTACACAGTGAAAACTTGTTTCAAAAAATAAAAAATAAAGTAGAAAAACCAACATGATTATTTTTTCAATCTAAATGTGATGGTGGGGGGGGGAGTATCACCAACATTTGGTGATTAGATCTATGTAATGAATGCTTAAAAGTAGCCGCTATAATAAATGAAAAGTCACGAAGTTATTTTTCTTAAGTGTGTCTGCTAATTTGCTACTGTATTTCTTTACAGTTTCAACTCCTAGCCTCAGCTCTGTTCAAATCTGGCTCAGACTTCACAGCTCTAGGTAAGTATGCCAGCAGTTTATCCTATTGCGCTAATGTTTGTTTGGATTTTGGTCTCCTGTATGGAGCATTAGATGAGGTGTGCATTCAAACAATTGTATGCAATTTTTAATAGTGTTAAAAGGTTACTTCTCAGGCATCACTCGCCAGTTCCTGGTTGTAGTTTACAGTTCATATGCCACTTGAAGCAGGCTGATAATCAGCATGGTCAAATAAACCAATCTTTGTAGCACTACTTTGGAATCAACACTTGATTGGGTAGACTGTTTTCTCTCTGTTCTTTGGGGAATTGTGTGGTGTCAGGAGTTAATAAATGGGAATGAAATATTTGGAAAGTAAATTATCTTTCTTTAGAAGTGAAAATTGCTAATGGTTGATAAATTCATTCCTCAAGTTCCTTTAAGGTTCTTTCCCCTCAAACTTCTCAGATATGAGTATTAGTCTTCATTAAGAAGTACTCTTATTTAGTATTAATGAATTACTTGAAAAAACTATGGTGCTAGGAATGGAATGGTATTAATGAGTGATTGAAGTAACTAAAGTCATAGAACCCCAGTAGTGTAGGAAATGGTCACATGAAGTAGCCTTTGCACAGCAAAATGCTGTCAACATAGTAAACTGCGACAATCTTTACCAGCTGTACTTTAGGCAATTTAAATATATAAAGAGATACAGAATTTAAGCTCACATACACAAAAGCCTAAATTAATTAATTAATTAATTGTGCCAATCAGCAACAGGGTCAGTGAACTAAACAGACAGTTCTCCAAAGAAGAGATTCAAATGGCCCATAAATGTCTTTTAAAGTTTTTATGTAGTTAGCCATCAGAAAAGTGCAAATTAGAACTACTTTGAGACTCCATTTCACTGCAGTCTTCAGAATGGCTGCCCTCAAGGAAACATGAAAACAAATTCTGGCAAAGGATACTGGGAAAGAGGGTCCTTGTTCAGTGTTGATGGTGATGTAAACTGGTGTAGCAGTTGTGGAAACCAGTGTGGAGGCTGCTCAAAAGCTATAAAGAGAACTACAGTATGACCCAGCTATGTCATTCCTGGACATGTACCTAAAGGACTCTGTATCCCACCACAGAAATACTTGCACATCCTTTTTCATTGCTGCTCTGTTTGCAGGGAAATGGAACTGCCTTAAATGTCTATCAACAGATGAATAGATAATGAAAGTGGGTATATACATATGTGGAATTTTGATCATCCATAAAAAAAATGATATTTGCAGGAAAGTGGGTGGAACTAGAAACTGTTGCATTAATTGAGGTGACTCTTGTGAAAAACTTAGAATTAGATTTCTGTGAACCCCTCCAAGAGATCATTGCATAACATCGATTCCTTGGTGTTTCTATTTAATATGTCCTTATTTAGTCAACATTATTTATTCATTCACATTGAACTCATGGTCAGGAGGACAAAGCCCTTACCTAAATGAAGTTTGTTTAGCTTCTTGTCTCTGAAAGGCATGTCACAACTCTTTACTCTTAGAAACACTAGATTGCAGCTCCAGGTTACCATCAACAGCACAGAATTGAACAGCATGAAATGACAGCTGTATGATACAAGACCTGAAACAGAAGAAGGCAGACTCTGCTGGGGATGTGCTCTGGCAGCTCCAGTATCCTGCCATTCTGTGTTTGTCTATAAATATTCACAATAATGCCACAAGTCTTGATTGTGGGACTACAAATCAATTCCAGTGATTAGGTGACTTTGTAAATATAGAATCTTTAATCAAGATATGTGCATATCTAAGCATATGGTTTTGAGTATGCTAGTTTTGTTACATAGTGTAAAAATATACTATACAGCATATTTTATTTAATTGTGTAACTTTGAAATTTTTTTGTGGAACTACTATATTTGCTCTGTCCTTATGAAAGTATTCTAAGGACCTCCATAGTCCATCTGATGGTAGTGTCAGTTTTGATTCCTTATTGGTAAATCGTGATGAAAGTAAAGATACTTTTGAGGAATAAGTGAGCATAGCCTATGGCCCTATACACTGCAATAAGACTAAGCAGATAGACTTTAGAGTCCCCTCACTGTCTGTGAGACCTTATTAAACTACTAACTCTCAGGTGATTCTTTGTGGAGTTTATATGCCCAGGCCTAGAAATGATATGTTGACTGTTAGCGTAACTGATTTTGTATTTCTCAAATAATTTGCTACTACAAAGAATTATGCCTCCTTGGAAAAATGACTGACAGGGTTTTGTAAGAATGAACTTGAAAGCTTATTATATGAGAAAGTATGGAGATGTTCAAAATTTTGTGGGTATATTTCTTACTGGCCAAATCTGAGATTATATGAATATCAAAATGATTGGTGACAATGATGAGTTTAATATTGAATAAAAGACAAATTCAGGAGTACACACTGATCCAAACAAGTTTAAAAAGGGAAGATAAAAAAATATTTCAGGACATTGTGGCACATGCTTTTAATCCCAGCACTTGGGAGGCAGAGGCAGGTGAATCTCTTGTGAGTTCAAGGTCAGCCTGGTCTACAGAGCGAGTTCCCAGACATCCAGAGATACATAGTGAAACCCTGTCTTAAATAAAAGCAGATATTGGTGGGGGGTGAGATCTTTATAACAGAATGCCAGTTAGCAACTATAGAAAGAAGCACAGTTAGAAGATCACAGTGGTTTATTGTGGCGGACCTCTCGACCGGCGAGAAAGAACGACCACCACATCAGGATTCCACTCAGAACACGCTTTACTGGAGTGCCCTTGATTGATGGGGAGCAGGAAAGGAGAGGGGCAGGGAGCTAAGGGGAGAGGCAGCAGGAAGCGAAGGGAGGGGGGGGGACGGACAGACGGAGGGGGGGGGGGAAGCTTAGGCAGCTGCTTAAATAGGGAATTGGCACACGGGTCACCCTGTGATTGGCTGCCACCAACAGCTGACACCAAACCGCATCGGGATAGGCTCAAGGATCCTCATCCACCGTGCATGAGGGAAGCAGGGACGCGCAGCTCTCAAAGCCATAGCCAAATATGGAGTTGTTTATTTCCAACAAGACAAGATGTCGGCGCCATCTTGTAATGGCGATCCTGTCCGGCTCACTACAGTTTATATAATTGCTAGTGACTAGTAACTGCTGATCATTGAGTATTGGGGTTTGAGAAAACAGGGACAGGGCTGGAGAGATGGCTCAGAGGTTAAGAGCACTGACTGCTCTTCCAAAGGTCCTGAGTTCAATTCCCAGCAACCACATGGTGGCTCACAACCATCTGTAATGGGGTCTGGTGCCCTTTTCTGGCCTGCAGGCATACAGACAGAATATTGTATACATAATAAATAAACAAATATTTTTTAAAAGAAAGAAAAAAGAAAACAGGGACATATGTGGTGTCGGACACTTTCCCCATTCTCAGATTACTAATATCAGAGGTAGAAATAAAACTTTATCAGAGAAATTTGGCATAGGCTGAGTTAACATTATGATCAGAGTTAATATCATCGATATCAGTCCCAACTAACAACCTGTGTTTTCCAAGATGATGCTCTGAGAAGGGCACAGTATTACTTCTGTAGTATTCTACCAAGACTGCATAAACCAGTGTCTGATCATAGAACCATCAAGACAAAGTTAATCCAAATTTAACACGCACACTATGCAACTTTTCTATATGCAACAAAAAGAATCTGTGCCATGAGAAGATGGAGAAACTACAGATTTGATTCAGATCAAAGAGACTTCAAATCCAAATGTAGAGGTAGTTTTTTTTTTTTGCTTAGAGATAAGTGAATAATAAAATGATTAAAACATCAATGTTAAGTTTCCCAAATTTAATATATAGTGAGGATTAAGATGTAGCTCAGAGACAGAACACTTGCCATGTGCAAGGTCTTAGATTTGTTCCGTAACACCACAGAAAATGTGTATGCATAGAGTTGGGACAGGGATGGAAGAAAAAGAGGGATGGTTGGTCATACGAGTAGATATTCTGTTCTTAGTTGAAATGAGTTCAGTAATTCAGGAATAAGGTGCTTCCACAAAAAAGTTGGTGAGTTGGGCATATACATCCACAATAAGAACATGTCAAGCAAGACACTACCATCAAAGTGAAGGCTCGCAATGAATTCTCATTGTACTTTCAAAACCTCTGTGTGTTTGCAATGTCTTGAAAGTAAAGCAATTTGGAAAATTCAGAAATGCCTAATAAAGAAAAACGGTTACATTCTCACCTTCACAAGTAAGCTTTGTTACTATTTTGCAGTATTTCCTTCTATTCATTTCTATGATATGATAGTAGACTTTGTTAAGCTAAGCTCAAAGGAAGAAACATTTCCCCTGCAAACTTAAAAAAACTAATAATAATAACAATTTTTTTAAAAAATAAAAAGGAATGAACTATTCTCAAGGCATTATTTCCTTCCAGGAAGCTGGTATCTTTGACAATGTTGTGTTCTATTTCTATTCTTTATAAGATTAAAACAAATTGGACCTAAAACTGTTGAGTGGAATCAGTCCAATTTGTGTTTTCCCTAAACTATCACAGCCGTGGTTCTTTTTCTGATGGCATGCAACAGAGCCAACATGTCCCAGCTAACCATTCAGTAATAGGAAAATCATTTGTCATATAACTATTTCATTTGTATGTTAGAAGTCTGAAGCAGCTGAGAACAGATACAGACTGACCAAAGCAGGGCGTTGGTTGGTGTGAACTTGAAAACTAAATGTTGCTTGATGTAAATGGAGGAAAGACTCCTTTATGTTAAGAAACCCTGTCTTCTAAGAAAAAGTCTTCTACCCTCTGGTATTTATTTTCTTAAAAGTACTTAATTATTCTCATTAAATATGCTTAGTCTAAACCATGTTACATGGAACCACAATAATAGCATTTCTTAATGTTGCCTGTGTGCTCTACAGACATTTCTTTCTCTTGGTTATCTATATTTTCACTCAGTTCTCTGGTAGTACTTTCACCTCTAAAGACCTTGCTGATCTTAGCCTGCTTTCCTAACGATCTCTTTGTTGTCATTTTGTTACATTTTATTACCAAAAACATCAGTGGGACAGAAGCACTCAAGATAGAGAGGAGTGGAATTTCCTCAATGAAGTAGTGGAGGAATAATCTAGCAAAGGAAAGATGAGAAGTCAGTATTAATTACTAAAGCAGCAGTCTTTCTGCCAGGTTCCACATAGTTGCAGTTAATCTGCACAGAACTCTGTGAAGTAAAACAGGATCTCACAGTTGTACTTCTGTGAGGAAGTGGGTGCTGCGCCAAGGAGGCTCATAGTGCCAAGTCCACACTGCTGCAGCCCTCCGCCAGGGCAGTGCTTCTCAACCTGTGGGTCAGAACCCTTTCACAGATTTGCTAAGATCGGAAAACACAGATGTTTACTCTACAATTTATGACAGTAGTAAAATTATAGTTATGAAATAGCAACAAAATAATTTTATGGTTGGGGGTGGGGGAGATCATCACAACATGAGAAACTGTATTAAAGGTCACAGTCCAGGGAAGGTTGAGAATCACTGCTCTAGGTGTTGTGATCTGGGAGAACCAGGATTATGTTGGTAGAGTTTGGCTAGTTTTGAAGCCTGTCTTTATTTTGATTTCACATTGTACATGATGCTGGTAACATTAACTTTCCTGTTGTGTTGAATTTTTGAACTAATACATACTTTTGTTTTCTTTTCTTCCCCAGGCTTTTCAGATGTGGATCACACCTATGCTCAGAGAACTCAGCTCTTTGACACCTTAGTAAATTTCTTTCCTGACAGCATGACTCCTCCTAAAGGCAATCTGGTAGACCTCATCACACTGTAACCTGGGGAGTCACTGGAGGACGTGTTAGGCTTAGAAGTGGAGACAGGAGTCGGAGTTTGCTGTTGGCGTGGGCAGAGGTGACATCGCAGTGGCAGAGGACTGCATCAGTTTGGAAGGATCCTTATTATCACAAGTTTTAACCCTCTCCTTCGTACCTGACCTCAGTCCCTTTTTCCTCATACTCCTGCATTAGGCTAATAAAGTGAAATTGCTATACTTCCCATTTAATTATGTATATTTTCTTTAGCTTTGAAGAATTAACAAATATTAATAAAAATTAGGCTTTTCCCTTTTTTGCTTTCCAATTTTTTTAAAGTTTCTTTTTAGTTAGGAAAACAGCACTCACTGTTAGTAGACTCAGTGCTGGGGGAATTTGGGGTTTTGCTGTTAGGTTGTTTGGCCTTTGTTTCCCTTTCACTTTCCTTCCTCACAGCTGCTGTAAGGTGTCACCAGTTTACTTCCTCATTCTTAACAGCTGTGTGCTTGAGTCAGTGTAGGTTAAGCTGATGTAACTGTTGACTTCTCTTGTACTATATTAAACAATAGAGAAGTTAGAGGACTTCAGTTTATACTTTTTGCCATACAACCAAAAAGCGAAACTCGATTGCTCCAGACACCTGATCAGAAATTGGTATTTCTATATTGATATTTTATAGTAGACATTACAGTATTCCTTGGCTTCAAATCACAAAGACCTGAAACCAAGGCTATCATCCAGAAACTTTCAGAGGTCTGCTATAGATGACCAGCAGGAGAGGTGCTGTCCTGAACACTCTTTCATTGGTGTGTTTGTAGAGATTTGGGAAGGAAATGACTCTCCTCTGATGAGTTATGCAGAACCAGCGCCCTTGTTCTCCTCTGAGTTATCTTTATGTCACAGTTTTATCTGGGAAAATGGGTTCCAGAGCTGCGCTTTCATTTTTTTCTGACGTTTCCCTGTTGTTGTCAGGAGTAGTGGTGTGCGCTTGTCCTGTGGCATACAGCCGACAAGCGCTCCGTGAGCATGAGGACTGGGCTCCTTTAAATGGACAGAAGGGAAAAAATAATACCAAGAGTTCTTCACTAGACAGAAAAGTACAACAAATTGCCCTTTTCATTGTGCCATTTTTGTGTATGCAAGAACAGAGGAGCATACCTTCCTATTAAGTGTTGTGGAATGTAGCATGAGAAACCTCCATCTGGCTAGTTGGTGTTCACAGTTGCTCAAAAAGTGTGTCATTTGTAGCTGGTAACCCACCATGTTGAAAGCAGACTTTATATCCACATGCCAGCGATTAAGAGTGAGTGACTATGAAATTGACCTGTACTTTCAGAAAGTGTCATGTATAGGAATGAGATCTGATAAGTTTTTTCCCTCTGTCTTTACTTCATGGTTTTGCTTCTGAGGTTGAATGAGAATATATTTTTGTCGGTTGAGATGAACAAGAATATATTTCTTCCAGTTGTAGGATTGAATCATGGCTTTTTAACTTTGCAAGCATTCCAAAGCAATCAGTAGTAATTTATTAAACATGTAGATTCTTATATTGTGAAAAATATGATGTATAGTTTAGCAGGTACCAAATTGTATAAATATTGAATAATCAGTTAACTGTACATTTGAGTAAATCTTTTCTATTCAAAGACTTGCAATCCTAAAGTGGTTCTTCTGACTAACAGCCAGGAACGTAAAGTGTATATCACTAATTTTGTCTAAGACAGATGCAAATCAGTAGTTGACAAAATGAACTTGAACTGGAAGCTGCCAAAATAGAAGAGCCGTGGCTGAGCACTGTGAGCTCTGGCACCTTGACAGTACAACCAAATGGAATTCTGCTGCTTACCACCTTTGTGGAGACGCGCTTCCCCTGCCACCCCTCAGTTTGCCCATCAATTCCTCAGAGTCTATTTTTTGGATGAAATTCATTTCTTGACCTCAATGATTCTTTTTTCGCTCTTAACTGCTTTTCTTTTCCTGTTTTTATAATGCCTACTTTAATTTCATCTTTCCTCATTTCTATTTAGTTTGGAATTTTTCATTTTTCACTACCATATTTAAATGGTTGAATCATAAGAAACCACTTAGTTGCCTGAGTAAGATGCTTTCACTAACTGGGGAGGTAACTGACAGTCAGTTAGAATCTGTGCCTTGAGGATTTAGTGGGGGCACTGCCAGGGATAACTTAAGAAGCGTAGGGCTTTATATGTCCAGGACCAAGACCGACATGTCGCTCACATTTCACATTAGGACCCAGATTTAGAACTTGTGTAGATATTTATTTAGTAAAGAGTAACAGCAGGATATTATAATTTAAACAATAAAATTAGTATTTAAGTAACCAAATACGTATACTTTACTACTTAAAATTTCTTTCATATTCTAGCTTAGTCCCAAATTAAAACACTTAGCTTTAGATACATTAGTTAGTGGGAAACTCTTTCCTTGACTTAAACCCTAGTTTCAGCCTCACCTCCATCTTCCTTTTTCTAGCAGAACATAAGACTTTCAAAGAGAAATAAGCTGTAGATATCTGATGTTCCTTTCACCCGTGTCTTCTGTAAGAATTGAATCACAAGTCACTTCACAAGTTCGTTTGCATTTTATTGGTGAATAGCACGAGACTTCGCTTGGCCACCAGTTTGTTTGATTCAGAGTTATGTTGTGTTTCTACACACATAACGTAATTTAGAGTTGGATTTCCACTTCTGTGTTGTTGAAGCTGACAACAATATTAACCTTTATCAAAGTCCTATTTGGATATGGTTTCCATTTCTACTAAAACTGGCCATTCTTTGTCTAGGGAGTAAACAAAGAGAAAACAGCAGAAAGTTAAGTCACTGGCTTGTTACAGAAGAGTATGTCAGATTTATGGCCCAGTGCTTGCTTTGTCTATAAAACTATACTGAGTGAAATGTGTAGTCTGTGTGTAAGTGTGGCAGTTGTCATCCCACTGGCTCTCTCCACATCTGCCTTAAAAAGTTACATAGAAATACACAGTAACAGTTTCATGTGACAAAATAGGCTTAAAAATCTGTACAAGTAAAAACGAGCTGAGGAACTTATAGATTGTTGCTTAATAAGTCAAAAAAGAATGTTCCTTATTATTGTTCTCTGAGTTATATTGAATTTCATGGTAATTATGCATATAAAGGAGTTTTCTTGTAATTTTTGTTGTTGTTGTTGGATAATCGTTTATTTCCTGAAGGAAACAAGTGTGAAGTACTTGGCTGACTGAGTATTCTGTGGCAGTTGGGACTTCGGGTTTGAAGTGACTTCTTGGGAGGAAGTCATGATAGTCTGCACTTTAGACAAAGTCACAAAAGCTCTTTTAAAATGCCCTTTCTAGCACTTGCTTTCTTAAAAACGCTTGCTCATCCCTTTGCAGAAATTCTTGCCTGAATTTTTACCAAGTTTTAGCTAGTCTGTGGTTTAAGATGTGCAGGCTCTACAAGAAAAAAAAAATTTTCTATAGTTGCTAGAGATATGTCATAGAGGTCTGTATAAGACAGTATTTACAGATTAAGTCATTTGGGCTCTTTAATGCAGTTTTTGTTTTCTGTATTAGACTAATAATACTAATTTTTATATGTTGCTTTTGATTGTGGGTTTGGTCTCTGTAATTTGTCTTACTGTGGAAGTGATTTGGCTATCTAAAGCTTCTAGTATATGTCAGGTATATATATATATATTATATATATAAAATCTTCTCTATATAGGTGTGTCATTTGAATTTCAGAGTTTTCACATCTGTTGAAATTATCTGGAGCTGACTAGTACAGATGAATGACATGAATAGTTTGCTTGTTTATGGGGTGGGTTATTGCAGTCTGTTGATTTCATCACCAAATGCTCTTGTTTTCTTAATAAATGCTATCTCAGATTTTATTTTTTAGATGACTTTTTAACCTTAAATTCATTCTGCTCACCAATTACTGTGAATTGTGTTTCCATTTCTTTTTCTTGGCTAATTTAACTTTATTCACTACTTCCTAGATTTTTCTATGACACTGTTCAGAACTGTTGTATTGCTTTAAAAAAAATCAAATCATTGTAAATCATACATGCTCCTGTGTATGACAAGAATAATGAGATTAAAAATGTATATTGGTAAAGAAGTAATAACATTTAGATATTGCTATAAAATGTGTGTGCTATTTTCATTTGGGGATGGCTATGGCAGCTTTCACTGGGAAGCATGTTTTAGCTTCTTTTCCTGGTACTGGAAACAGCTGTCATAGAACTATTGGCAGAATACACGTTCTGAAAGAAGCTGGCCTATGGCGATCAGCATGTCACCTCTGCTGTCACCCTTTCTTTTGGTTGTATTTTTAGCCAACGTTTGTTCTGTTTCTACCTCCATCAGCAGCATTGATTTTTCTGTTGAAGTTGAAATTTGTGCTAATAATTGACTGTTAGCATTGTGGTGCATACCTTTAATCCCAGCATTTGGGAAGCAGAAGCAAGAAGATATCTCTGTGAGTTCAAGGCCAGTCTATCTACCTGGTGAGTTCCAGACCAGCTAGAGCTGCATGGTGAGACTCCATCTCAAGGTTTGGGGGCAGGGTTAATTTCTGATACAGTTTGAATATTAGAAATGGCTTTTATTGCCACTAAATAATTAATATTCCTTATTTTCTTAAATAAAAATAATATAGTGATGTAAATGTCTCTTCTCATGAAGAACATGAATTTAGGGCAGGTGAGACAGCTCAGCAGGTCGAGTTCATCCTCCAGGACACACGGTGGAAGTAGAGACCTGCTTCCCACACTTGGTCTCTGACCTCCACGTATGCACACATATACAAAAGAAATAAGTAAATGAAACTTTTAAAAATTAAAAGACTATGAACTTAGATTCCACCCTAAGTGGCTAAATTGCTTTCTCAGTCATAAAGCCAGTGACAATCATCAGACCATAACATCTGTAGACTTTAGCCTAGGGGTCTAGGGAGTCCTTAGTCAGTATAGTAAGTTAGACTTTCTAGTACTCAGAAAGAAATACCTTCCTGGAAAATTCCTGTTACTATCTTTTTCGAAAGCCACAGATATGAATTGGAATCCTGTTCACAACACAGAAAGCAAAGGGTGGTTCTAGTTTCTCTTACATACTCCAGCTGTGTGTAAATCCGATCTGCAGATGTGCAGTCTTGTCCCCAAACACAGCCGGGCTCACTTGGATGCCATCCGACAACCGTGGGATCAACAACAGAAAAGGTGGCAGTGTCAGGGTGTTGAGCGGGGAAGGAACCAGTTCTAAGGATTATGAAATCATGTATCTTCCTTTTCTGTGCTACACAGGTAGCCCCAGTAAGC